ATAAACTTTTCCCTAGGCTCACACCAATATTAATGACATTATACGCCTCATATCGATGCATTTGTTAGATATTAACACTTGAATAACCACAAAAAGTTTATATATACATTTAATATAAATGTCTTTAAATCACGTGACTCTTGTCAATACACATCCCTTTACGGAATAAATAAATTGGATGAATTATTTCTGCATTGATATTATATCAGTTCCGAATGTTTGGGTCGTTTAGGCTTTATGATATTGAACTTCTAAAGGTTTTTAATCTTCACACATATTTTGTAATAAAATGTTTACGTAATATATTTCCTAATACCATTTGGCACAAAATTGGATTTGAATTGAGCTGAATTACCTATATATTTAATCAATAAATCAAGGACTTTTTTTTTGGTTGAAACACGATTCGGTTTCCCTTTGGGAATTAATTTGGATACGTAGCTTCCTATAAATCTATCCGTTTGGCTACAAAATATTGGCTCTAATTAAGCGTTCTCGGGGCAGTAAATAGAATACTAGTACAATATATGATAGATAATGTCTTTATGTTGATTTATATACCTTTTATTACATCCAATTTTGCATACGTAACAATCTTTTCTGTCAGTAAACACGATTCATTTTCTCTCTAGGTCTCTATTTGGATACTTAGCACCTATAAATCCATCCGGTTGACTTTCGAAATATTGTTTCTAAGCGTTCTGGGCGCAGGTAAATAGAATACAAGGCCTTTAAGTTGATTTTATATACCTTGTATTATTTATACCGTCCCCTTTCCCCCGAATGTGACCTACCGAATTAGACTTATCATCGGATTTGTACTTACATGAGCAAAACGACAGGTGCCACATGTGGAGCAGGATCTGCTTACCCTTCCGGAGCACCTTTTCTGTCCATTGCATAAAAAACCATCCTTAATCCCTAGTCTTTCTTATCATTTGATATAACTGATATTTATTTTTATCCGGCAGTTTTTACTTTACCGTCTTGATTTACATTTCTACATTATATAGTAATTAAACTGGGTATGGCGATTATGTAACCAAATACACTAATGTGGCCTAATGATGTTTCGAATAGTGTGATTTGGAAACGTGTAACTTAGATAAACACAAACTAGATGCTTCAATGAGTCCGTATCGCTTACCTTGTTGTTATGCATACTATTCACTAACGTTCCCGTAAAATGAAAGATTATGGCCACAAAACTTAGTCTCCCTTTTCCCAACTTCATTAGGAACCCAATAAAATGGTATTAGAATATTAGAACCTTCATAGCACAATATTACAGACTGTCGGTACTGCATATACAATAGTATAGATCTAAATCTGCTGTACACGATTTCAAAATATATTGTTTTTGCAATGGCAAACGCAACAGCAGACATTTTTATTGTTCACAGCAATTGAATGTTCTTCGTGACAATCGGGAACACTGATCCTGTTGTATATGTCGCACTGGTAGTCAGTCGGCAATAGGGTGTGTTTATTGTATTACTCTTGTAAACTTAGACCGATGTTTGCTATTCTTTTTCGGTAGTAGTTAGTCGGTAATAGGGTGTGCTTGTAAACTTAGACCGACGTTTGCTATTCTTTTTCGGTCTTTTTCATGATCCTCAGTTGAACATATGGTTTTCCATACATAAGCTAGACAAACCTTAGTTAGCTTACTCGTTTTTACAGAATTAAATGAAAATCTTATTTCTAAAAAGAATATCATATGTTCATGCAATATTTGTCAACAGATAAAAGAGAGACGAAAGATACCAAACGGATAATCAAACTCACAAGTCGAATACGAAATGAAAATGCCAATGCAAAAAACAATAAACTGTTGACACAGAGATATGTCTCGCCTTTTTGTAATTTTGATTGTAGAATGCAAATATTGAATCCAAATCAGCCAGGATTCTATTTCGTCAAAATTATCTCCCCATTAAACCACCTAATTTTTTCAAACGCGAAAACGGAAGCCATTGTAGGGATGACGCGCTGTCAGTTTAGCTCTTGAAAACCTATAAATTTATCCACATAGCATCATTACCATTCTTACATGCAAGTTATATTATAAAAGACGAATGCATCTACTCGCTATTAAGCATCATGTAATGCACTTTTATGCCTTTTGTCAACTTAAAAAACTACTGTCTGATCGGTTGTCAGGGTAAATTTTCGAAAGTTCAAAAAACATTAAAAAAATTCTAATCAAATATTGTTATGGAAGGGCAGACTAAAAATGTTCAGAGAAGACGAAATACCCTAGAAAAAACATACAAATAATGAGAATTTTTTGAAGATATGCATTTTTAAGATCCACTTGTAGTCTGTCGTCAAGTGCTTTTTGTTATTTTGTATTAAAAATTTGCCATTCAAACACACCTTACTATGTTACTATGACTCAGTAGAAAGGTAATTCGCTTGACCAATATATTTTATTTTTTAGTACTGTGAATCCTTAATGTTATATCAAAATGTAGCCTAAATATATAAAAATAATAAAATCTGAAGAGAGATGGTGTATAAAATAGTGTTGCTTTATACGTTTTCAAGATAAAACAAAAAACTCAAACACCCCCAAACATAAAAAGGTGTACCCGACTTTATCTTTTCGATGAAATTGCTATTTTTTTTATTTTCTTCCGAAAAACTGTTACCGGGGGCAGAGATGATAATTAATGCTATAAAAAGATCGATCTTTTATTTTTCTGTGGAATTTTTTTCTGTGAAATTATGCTTATGCACAAAATAGATCCACATGTATTTTCACTTAACCGATGATAATCGACTGTTTAGGGAAAATTTGTATTTAATTCAAAAGTTTAAAAATAGCTCGAAGCTTCATACTAGAAATTAAGTATAAACACGTAGATGAGATGCAAAAAATCTTAAATTAAGCACATACATTAAACTTTTAAAGCCCATAGAAACAGATGTAAACAATTCAAATATACCAACTTGGCCATTTTTACCTTCTCTAATAAAAGAGTTCCATTTCTTTTGTTCTTTTGTTTAATTTCAACTGGATATCAGCCTGAAATTGTAATATTAAACGTGTAAACTATGCACAACATTCGTTTGCACTAACCAAAACACAAACTTTAACTTGTAAACAAAGTTTCAAAGTAAAAAAACAATGACGAGGTGATGAGGCCATATAATCTCCATGGAAAAGAGACTTGCAAATGCTCTTAAAAATGAATACCGAATATCTTTGACTTGATATTAGTGATTCCTCTTAAACTGATCAAATTACAAACTTTAACATGTTAACAATGCAAAACATTCAAAGTCAATAGACCATGACTGAGGGGGCGGGGCCAAATAATCTCCATGGAAATGAGATGTGCCAATGCTAATGCATCTACATACCAAATACCATTGACCTACCACTAATGGTTTGCCATAAACTGACCTAATCTCAAACTAATACATGTAAAGTAAGCAAAAGTTTCAAAGTCAATAGACCATGACTGAGGAGACTGGACCAAATAATCTCCATGGAAATGAGATGTGCCAATGCTAATACAGCTGCATACCAAATATCATTGACCTACCACTAGTGGTTCCCTATAAACTGACCTAATCACAAACTAATACAATGTTGATGCCACTGCAAACGCCGTCTGAAGCAGCATACCTAATCATTCTCGCTATTTGACTCGGTCAAGAAGGATAAGTACATCCTGTTCGACATATGGCACCCGTCGTGTTGCTCATCATAACCATCTCTATCTTATCAATCCTATACTTTCAGCACTATTGGCTATTTAGTGACAGTCAGTTTTTATTGGTGGAAGAAGCTGGATCACTCAGAGAGAACCACAGACCTTCAGTCAATTAAAATTGTAGTCCAGCCTACCTACCATGTGCAGGGTTTGAACTCGCCTCAGCGTTGACAGGCTAGTGATACAGAAGTTGGACTACTTAGACCACTCAGCCACAAAGGCCCCTTATAACAATTTTGCCACTGATTAGTCTTTTGTAGACCAAACCTCTGTCTTTCATACTAAATCTAATTACTTTTTCGCCTTTCAGATCAAAGAGTAGCATTACCAATGTTAAGAAATTTAAATCAAAATGGAAGATTCATTCTTGCCTGTGTAACCATCAAATGTATAATTGGAGGTGGAAGTTACCAATGAGACAATCAGAAATAAAAAAGGTTGAAAATAAAATGACAAAGTCATGTCAAATAAACTTGACAGATATGTCTCAACTATCGGCAGAAAATTAAAAAAAAAACCAGTCTGATGGACAGCATAATTGATAATTAATTCAATGACAGAATGACAGAGGGCAGCATTTCAAAATGATCATCGAACTGAATGTACTGATAGTAATGCAACTTTCATTGTCTTTCATAAGTAGTTCCTTTCAAACTGACTTGAGCAGAACGCTTAACATTGAAAATTGCTAATTAATTCCAAGTCACTGGACCATGACCTAGGGTGTAATACCTCAAAGCCATGACAACTGCTTAGATAGGGGATAGAAAATGGACTAGACATAGTGATGCCCTGCACTCCACTCTGAAGTAACTGTATTATAACAAAGTCAATGTATGACTTTCTTTGAGATATTATTGTGTCTGGGAGACACAAATGATGCCCCCCAGATGCAAAGTGTTATTTTAAAACACACAAAGTTGAGCATGGGAGCACATAGGTCTATGGTTCACTGTAGTAGGAGTTATCCAGAAATGCTATGCACCTATTATGCAAGTATATACTCCAAAAATGACAAAGTTCAACTATCTCCCAAAAGAGCAAATTTCAATAAAAATCAAAACCCTGACCACATGCACACCTTCAATATATGTACAAACAGCCAGCAAAGTGAAAACTTCCTAGCATTCAAACTGTAGTAGGAGTTATCTGGAATAACTATATATCCATAATGGGACAGACAGAAGGGCAGATGGAAGGACAGACAGACAGGGGTAAACAATATGCCCCTCAACTTCCAGTTGTGGGGGCATAAAAATAGGCAAAAAAAAATTGTTTGTGGTGATATATGTTTTATTTTCTGTTGTAAAATTATGATTTTATATAAATTTGTGTGCAAATAGAAAAATATAACAATTTACAAATGCATGTAAAACAATTTTGATTTTCATGTAAACTTTGATGAAAAAAATAATATTCAAAACTTTTATAACAAAATATATCTATACAAAATGGATTTCAAAATAACAAGTGTCATATAATAACAAATGTATATGTCTCCTATCAAACTGAACAGGAGAACAACCAGTTAATATTATGCATATTCACATTTGACCAAAAACTAACAATAAATTTACAATTTACATGGTGATTAAGTACTAAATAATCTACACAATGTTAATTTGACTCAGAACTTTTGCATACCATTCCTTTCAGTTACAACACTTATATATAAACCTGATTTATTATTAGTACTATTTAAATGAGATTCTAGCACTTTATTACACATGTCCTTTGCTCCAAACGAACACTCTCCCAAAGACACCTCTGTAAATTCCAAGTCTGAACCTAAATTACATTATACATAATGAAAAAATTTGTTAAGGTCCTAGATATAACTTATTTACTCGGCTTCAAAGTACATTTCTGGTCCAGTGATGATTTCATCTCCTTTACGAGAACCCCTGACTGAGCCGACAACTCTCTCTTCAAGATAGATTTCATTATCAGCGGCAAGGTCTTGTCCGTACATCCTATTCTTCTTGCTCTTCTTCTTCTTCTTTTGTTTACGGTACTCCTCATCGTCATAAGTAGCTTCTACGACTGGCAAGTAATAAGGGCGAGATTGAGTGCTCATGTACCTGTAGCTATCATCTCTGAAAAAGAGAAAGAAAAGCATTATTTTGTTTTCACAAATTAACCCAAGCATCTAGCAAAATAACAAATAATAAGTTTGACATTGAACCAAAATTTTATTCTTTAATTTTAAGTGACGTGTCATCTTAATTTTTAACACATCGCATTAGGCAGAACTAAATTTTGTGAATACCTTCTTGACCAAATTTCAGCAAATTAATTTAATAAAAGATTCAATTGTTGTTCGATATGTTTTGAAGTTGTCCAGATATTCTATTGCCCTCACCAACCAGTTTGCCAATAAAACAAAGTAACGTTAAAATCAGCCCACAGCAAAAAAAATAATTTCCTGTAATCAATCAATCTTCTTTAGACTCAAATGTACCATAGCAAAATAGTTATTTTTTTCAAATATTACTTACACATAGCTTATTCTGGGTACTTCTCTTACAGATTCCCTGAAAAATATATAAAAAGATGCAAGTTTACTTTCACACCAAGATGTCGTTAAATGAAATTGAATACATTGCATTGATCATGCTTTTCAATAACATATGGTCAAATCCCTGAAGACCCCCTCCTAAGTTATAGAAAAACACTCATTCTGCATTGACAATAATATCTCAGTGTAAATTAGATACGCCCAATCAGGCATTCTCATAGGTGTATCTCATACATAACACTGAATATTGGAAAGTTTAACAATTGATTGACCAAATTACAATCTAAAAGATATATTTTATATTTATAAAATGCCTTCATTCATAATCTTTCAATCAGTTTAATTGAGGTCGGGAGCTGGCATGTCAGTAACTGCTAGTAGTCCTTTGTTAATTTATCATCGTCATTTTGCTCAGTTTTTTTTGTTACCTATTCTGACATCAGACTCAGACTTCTTTTAAACTGAGTTTTACTGTGCGTATTGCTGTGTGTTTGTTTACTCTACAATGGCTAGAGGTATAGGGGGAAGGTTGAGATCTCACAAAACATGTTTAACCCGCCGCATTTTTGCGCCTGTACCAAGTCAGGATAGAGCCTCTGGCCTTTGTTAGTCTTTTGTGTTTTTTAATTTTAGTTCATTTATATGTATTTGAGTTTAGTGTGACATCCATTTTCATTGAACTAGTACACATTTTTGTTAAGGGGACAGCTGAAGCCCACCTCCGGGGGTGCGGGATATTCTCACTGTGTTGAAGACCCATTGGTGGCCTTCGGTTGTTTTCTGCTCTTTGGTCGGGTTGTTGTCTTTTTGACACATTCCCCATTTCCATTCTCAATTTTATTGCATGGATAAACAATAAAAAAAATATTAAGGGACTAAGATAACTTACATATAACCGATTCTTGGTGTAACTTCTCTAACAGACACAACAGATGGCTCTCTGTAAAAAAAAAAAGGAAGTATATAAATATGAGTACATATATTGTATAAATAAATATATCAGATATGTGAATCAAATATATCATGTAAATAAATATAAATATCATATAAATATAAAATATTTAATAAATAAATCAAATAAATTATTTAATTTAAACACATCAAAATAATATTTTTATTTTCTAATACAATGAATGTTTATCAGAATTTCATCAATTTATACTTTGACATATTGCATCTGAATAGCTAAACCCAAATATTTAACACAAAACCTCAACATTATTTGCCCCCCTCCCCCACCAACTTGACCCTGCAAAATATCAAATTCAAAATACACTCTTACTTCACAACTGGAATAGCTTCTTGTCTATAAGGCATTTCAGTTCTAATAACTTCACGTTCAATGTAACGTTCTTTTTTCTCCCGCTTACGACCACAACATCCTATATAAAAAATTAAGACATTTTGAAATTTGTTAAAAGAAAACACAACTGCAAAAGTTTTAACTAAAAACGGCAACAAGTTCAAAGGAAACTGACAAAAACGTTTAGATTTGTATTTATACCATCTGTAATGTATAGTACCAATATGGCTAGATTGATGAACTTCTATTCTTTCATCATGGAAAGAAATAACGCTCCACTTGCAAATTTATCCATGGTTAATCACAAACAAATAAAACAAAATAAAACATAATTTTCCTTCATCAGTAAAAAGTAAATAAATTTTAAAGAATATTTAAAATACATTTGTCCATATTTAGCAAAAAAAGAATTATCTGGTTGTCTAGGTTACCTTGTACAACACAGCAGACGATGATGATAACAATAAGTAGGATACCAAACAATACAGCCAGACAGATAGCAGCAATCTCTCCTCCTGTCAAACCAGCAGATACGGTAGTCTCAACTATCTTTGGAGCTGTAAAATAATTACATTTTGTTAATTATTTTGAGTTGTCTCCCATTATTTATCAAAATAATTGAATTTATCTCCCTTGACACAATAATAAAAGTAGTTTTAGAAATAAAATTTTGAAAAATGCATGCTTATAAAAAGATATATACCACAGTCTCAATTTATAAGTCAATTTCATTTCATCATTTGTTTTAACTTGCTCCTTTTATTTATCAATATAATTACATTCATCTCCCTTGACACAAATAATAGCTTAAGAAATGAAATTTGAAGAAAAAAGCATGCTTATCAAAAGAAAAATGTACATCACAGTCTCAATTACATCTGGAGCTATAAAACAATTTCATTTCATTAATTTTTTTAAGTTGTCTCTCATTATTTACCCAAATAATTGCATTTATCTCCCTTGACACAATTGAAAGAATAGCTTTAGAAATGAAATTTTGAAAAATGCATGCTTATAATAAGATATATACCACAGTCTCAATTATATCTGGAGCTAAAAACAATTACATTTCATTTATTATTCAAGTTGTCTCATTATTTACCATAAATAAATGCATTTATCTCCCTTGAAACAATTGAGGAACGTCAAAATGAAATTTTGACGAAAGAATGCATGCATAATTAAGGTGTAATACCACCAAATCATAGAACGTCACATCCGGTTGCATATGAAAATAGGTCGAAAAAAAATATTCCCTTGAATTTGACAGTTGTAGGTAATTGATCCTACATTTCATTGCAGTAAAACATTTCTGAGTCATAAACATATATCTTGGGTATTTCAAAGCACCATTATTTCTTTATTTGGGGTTTCTATAGAATATTTTGGAAACTTGAGGTTACATGGTTACTAAAGCTTGTACACAGGTTAAAAAAGGAGGAAAATTTGATTGGTTAACTTCCAGTGATGGTTATTTTCTTATATGCAATGAAATGTTATGTGAAATTTTTTCTATAGTACTGGACAGGATAAAACTTTACTCATGCCAAGTATTTCTTTATTTGAAACAAAGATAAATTCTGCACAATTTTTGTGAAAAGTGCAAATTTAACAAAGACTAATAGGGGGTGGTATTACACCTTAAAAGAAATGTATAATTCTCAATATATCTATAGAGCTGTAAAATAATTACATTTCATTTATTATTTTGAGTTTTCTATCATTATTAAACACTTAAATAGAAAATAATTGACACCATTGAGGACTAGCTTTTAGAAATGAAATTTTGTAGAATAAAAAGCATGCAGAATTAAAAGATAAATGTATTTTTGCCCTCAAGAAGAGCTATAAAGTATATTCTTTATTGGCACATGTATCTTATTTTACTATGTTAAATTTTTCTCACTTATCCTTCACAATATTTTACAATAACAGACCTTATAATGCCATGTTCAATTTAATTCAAATTTTAGAAAGTCTTGATAAAAAAATTCTTTTTACATAGTCAAATTTTAATAAATATTGGGGTGTTTCTCATTTTTCTCTAGAATTTATTATTTTATTTTAAGAATACAACAAAACAATATCTATTCTGATCAACTGTTGTTTTTCAATGAAAATCTTTCCATTATTGTTACTTTACAGTCAATCAAATTTTCAAACAAAATATTTAATGACATTATTACTTAGTATTTTGAGTTATCTCCCATGTTATATATTTATGGGAAAACAAAATTTTATCTTCTGCAGCATACAGTTATGAGTTTTATCTTTTCATTAATCAAACATTTTTTTCTCTCACTTTTTTATTAGTACAAGTCCAGTTTTTGAACTCAAGTTTCCCTTGGTAATCAAAACAATGTCAGATTTCACGATTTTTAGATTTAATGTTTACATGTTTTAGTATGTGGACCAAAAAGACAAACCTGGGGTAAGAGGATCAGCAAGTTCAACTGTAAAATCGATCTCAGCTGACTGTCCAACTTCATTGAAGGCAATGCAGGTGTATTTGCCAACATCAGATGTGCTGTCCATGTCTACTAGGTAATTTTTTTCAGTGAAGTCTAAGTCAAATCCATTGTATTTCCATACCCAATGAGTAGATGATGGATTAGCTAATGTATTACATCTCAATGTTACAGCATTATTTAAACCTGGATTGAAACTGGCTTGATCTACTGCACTAATTGGTGCATCTAAAAAACAAAACATATTCAATTTTCACCATTCTTTTATTTAACAGCCCGAAAACATGACGTCTTTGTTCTTACAATTTACAGTATTCTATGTGGTAAATAATGAACTATTGGCCAACATAAGAACTTTATAAAATGTTAAGATATAAGCAAAATTCAGAAATTATTGCAAGGTTTTTATTAATACTAATAATGCAACTGTGCGAGTATTGCAATAATAAGAACTCACATTCTGATAACTGATACATATACCAGTATGCAGATTTTCCTGAAATCACAAATTAATCTTGCATTTTTGCCCTTTTTTTAAAAGATTGCAATAATAAATGCACCCAATAATTTCTGAATTTATAGTAAATGATTCAAGACAAATATAAAATTCTAAAACGAAGTCAATGGTTGGAATATGAGGACCCTGGTTACCTCACTTTAATAATTTATTGGTAACTGGTATATGATTGCTCTGCACCAAGAATCATAAATATACAAGGGTTTTTAGGAGGAGAATAAGCTTATCAATGAATCTACTATCAGGTTGATTGTGGGATACTTGCCGAGAAGAATAATGCTTTTTGAAAAAATATCTTGAATTGAGAAAATTAAGTTGACTTTTTAAAATTCTGTGAATGTAGGATAGATATCTCCAACTGTTTGTGGAGTTTATAGAAATTTTATAAATTGCAAAATTCCCACATTTTTGTTTTTTTTCAAATGAGAAAACAAGAGTGTGCGAAGAAAACTAACCACATGCAGCTAGTAAATGACAAATATACAACATGATGGTACACTGAGAACAGCGTTAAGACACAAACATAATTGTGGTGCTTGTAGCTTTTATACCGTCTCCATTACCTATTCATCACCTACACATCAAATGCAATTGTGGTGCTTATAGCTTTTAAACAGTTACCATTACCTATTCATCACCTACACATCAAATGTAATTGTGGTGCTTATAGATTTTATACAGTTACCATTACCTATTCATCACCTACCGACGATTAAGAACTTACATTTGACATCAACATCAACAGTGGCCTGTCTGCTTCCGACAACATTGGTAGCTTTACAGGTGTGTAATCCATCGTTGTTATTATAAGCTGCATTGCTGATTGTAAGAACAGGGCCTTCATGTATCTTGACATCTTTGTAGTACCATTCATACAAAGGTGATGGGTCACCATCGGCCTCACAGGTCAAGGTGTATCCATTGCCTTCTTCAACGGTCACTTGTGATGGTCTTATTCTGATGTATGATGGTGCAGCTGAAGAGAGATTTGAAATGTTATTTGTCAAAATGAAAAAATGAAAAAATATTTTGCACATCTACGCACGTCATGACGAAAAATTCAACCAACAAAACTTTTAAATGATTCCATACAAAGATTTCATGGCCTTCCAAATGTTTTTAAAAATACATTATAGGGTTTGTACTCGTTTTTTAAGCCATGTCATGTCTTTTATTTGTGAGATTGCTGCTTTATCAACTAACTATATTTTAAACAATATACAGTTAGTTGAGTTGCATTGTATCAAATAGTAACCAAATACTGACTCACCATTTGTGTCAATATTCAAAGTGACGTAATTAGATTCTCCTTGTCCAATGATGTTTGCGGCTGAACATCTGTAAGATCCGGCATCAGATCTGTCCAAATTGTAAATGGTCAAACTTGGGCTGTTCAAATTAGCCCCCTGATATTTGTTACCATCAATTTCAATGAGGTTGGTGTTTCCAGAGTTTGTACCTGCTACTGGATTGTATTTGGTCCAGAACACGCTGGTAGCTGCAGGGTTGGACATATAAGAACATGGGATATTAATGGATTGTCTCCCCTGTCCATCAAATGAAGATGTTGTTTGGGAAATTACAACAACTGGTGCATCTGTGAAATAATAAATAATATTTTTACAGTTAAAATATTTTAAAGCGTTGATAAAATAACAATTTTATAGAAAATTCAATTTTGACTGTAAAAAGTAGGCACATAACAATTCTACCAGGGAGATATAAATGTTAAGATTCAATATATGATAAAAATAATTCATTTAAAAACTCATTTGGAATGTTTCTAGCAGCTAAAAGTACAATTATTTTCATTGAAAAATTCTTCAAAATCTGGCATAATCTGAGCACAACTTATCAACTATAATGGCTTGCAATGAAAAAGTACATACATTGCACATCAACAATAGTTGTAGCTTCCATAGAACCATAGTTGTTAGAGGCTCTACATGTGTAGGTTCCTAAAGCTGTCCTTGGAGCGTTGTTAATCTCTAAGATATTGCCAGTTTTAATAACAGTAATGGATCCTTCTTTGTACCATGTGTATATAATTGATGGACTTCCCTGTGCCAAGCATGTGGCACTGATAGTTTGTCCTTCCTCGATCACAATCTTTGCTGGGTTGATTGTAATTCCTGATGGTGGGTCTGTAAGAGAAATTGTTTGTTTTGTTACTATAGTTTCTTTTAACAGCATTTAAAAATATAAATGGTTAATAAATAGAGTGATGTTTTAACAATATAAATAAATATAAATATGAGGCATAAGGCATGGATGTAGAAAGCAGAAAACAGGTAATTTACATTCCATGCTTATTTGAGGATAGGTAGGAACAATTAAAAAAAATCTTGAAATTTAAAATTAAGAGAGTTCAGAACCTCAATTCATTTACTTCATCAACTTAAAATATGTTTCCAGTAATTCCATTAGAAAAAGATGTGGTATGATTCCTAATGAGACAACTCTCCACCAGAGAACAAATGATGTAAAAGTAAGCAATTATAGGTCACTGTACTGCCTTCAACAATTAGCAAACACATACTGCATAGCAAGCTCTCAAAATTACAAATATAAAACAATTCAAACGAGAAGTCAATCTTAATTTCTGGTACAGAAAACAAAATTGGCAACAGACTGGCAGACATTAAGTGAGTCGTGTGCGGCATCAGTCATGGCAGCATCCAAGTTAAACTCTTAAAACAGGTCTTTCCAATATAATTTGATCTTAGTACTTTTTTCTCGGACATGTGAAACTCTATTAATGAGTCTACTGCATTAACTACCTCAAAGTATATCATTAAATAGGGTAGTATATTATTTTGAATTTTCTTGAATGTAATTACCTCCAATAATGTCTAGATAGACTTGGTTACTAGATCCAGTTCCTACATCATTTCGTGCCTGACAGATGTAATTTCCTTCATCGTCCTGTTCTACGGGATTAATGGTCAATGATGGATTGGTAGTTGTACCACCACTCAGACGGTTGTTGTTGATAATATCGATTGGAGTAGGTTGGTTGTTGATATATTTAGCCCAAGTCACATCAATAGCTGCTGGGTTTGAAACAATGGTACATGTAATGATGACAGAGCTGCCAACACGTGCTGACTGTACAGTTGTTGCAGTGACAGTGGGTACATCTGAAATTTTCATGTTTCATGCAATTATTCGGACATCGGTAAATTGAAGCAGTGCTAACAGTCTTATCATTAACAAATTATCAGTTTTTTGTTTTAATTCTAATCATGGAAATTCCGTTAAAAAAAAAGAACTTGTTGCAAGCAATTAAAAACAGTTTTGAGATTTTTTATCAGTTGAAGACTTGAATTTTTCTGAATAATAATAAATGCTGTTATTTTTCTTGGTCATTATCAGTAAAGTATGGTATTTTCATGCTGTTGCAACATTTAATAAACTGTTATCACAGAGATATGTCTCGCCTTTTTGTAATTTTGATAATGTTGAAATTAAAATAGCAATACTTTAACATGTTAGTTATGCAAATATTCAAAGTCGATGAACCATGACTGAAGGTACATGGCTAAACAATCTCCATGGAAAGAGACGTGCCAATGCTAATACAACTGCATACCAAATACCATTGACTTATTATAAGTCGTTCCCTTTAACATCCCTAAACACAAACATTAACTTGTAAACTATGTAAAAGTTTCAAAGTCAATGAACCATGATCAGGGGTGGGGCTATATAATCTCCATGGGAACAATACTTGCAAATGCCAATAAATTTGCATACCAAATATCATTGACTTAACATTAGCAGTTCATCTTAAACTGATCTAATCACAAACTAATACATGTAAACTAAGCAAAAGTTTCAAAGTAAATAGACCATGACTGAGGGGGCAGGGCCAAATATTCTCCATGGAAATGAGATGTGCTAATGCTTATACAACTGAACACCAATTAACATTGGCCTACCACTAATGGTTCCCCTTGAACTGACCTAATCACAAACTAATACATGTTAACTTAGCATTATTTTCAAAGTCTATAGACCATGACTAAAGGGGCGGGGCCAAATAATCTCCATGGAAATGAGATATGCCAATGCTTATACAACTGCATACCAAATATCATTGACCTATCACTAGTGGTTCCCCATAAATTGACCTAATCACAAAGTAATACATGTAAACTATGAAAAGTTTCAAAGTCAATAGACCTTGACTGAGGGGCAGGGCCAAATAATCTCCATGGTAATGAAATGTGCCAATGCTAATACAACTGCATACCAAATATCATTGACCTACCACTAGTGATTCACCATGAACTAGACCTAATCACAAACTAATACATTGTTGACGCCGCCGACGCCGGAAACAGCATACCTATGTCTCGCTTTTTGACTCTTGTCAAGGCGAGACAAAAATGATCTATTATCAAATTCAATTTACTTCGATTTATATGAAAGCTAAGAAGGCCTTTTTCTAATTCTTTATCAATAATTTTGAGAGAAAAAAAGGAGGTACACATACTTCCGACAACATTGAGGAAAGCCTGTGAACTTTGACCTGTTCCAACAAGATTTGTAGCATGACAAATGTAAGTGCCTTGGTCATTGTTATCAGAATTATAGATGATCAGAGATGGTGAAACTACACTGCCTCCTCCATATTTTGTTGTAAGGCTACCACCTATTGTGATGGTTTCTTCCTGGTTACCAGGAGTCTGACGGGTCCAGAAGACAGTTGTATGAGTTGGGTTAGAGATCACAGAGCAATCAATGGTAACAGTGTTTCCAATGTTGACGGTGTATGTTGTCTGACTGATTCTAACTGTTGGTGGACCTATTTAAAACAGAGTTTGCATATAATTAAAACTGGTTGTTTGGTTTTCTTTTAACAATAATTTGTATATAGCAATTACTTTAACAGTAAATTCATAGATAATTCATATTGAATTAATAATCGAATCTTCCAGCAAATGTCTAGATGAAGAATTGCAATAAAAGTGCTGTTTTGTCATTATATTTGTACAATTTTGCTCTGGAATTTTTTTTCAAAAAATATTCATAGCTTTCTAAAACAATTTGTGGAATAACCCTTATTTCAGGAATCTTTGTCACATAGACACATGAACACATAAATATAAACTTACTGCCAACGACATTGAGAGGTCCTTGGTTACTCCTTCCAGTTCCAACTGAGTTGGCTGCGAAACAGACATAATTAGCAATGTCGCCACTTCCTATATTCCTAATAGTAAGATCTGGATTGGCAACGGTAGACCCTGAATATTTAGCAGTATTAGACACATCAATGGTGGTAGGTGTCTCTCCAGTCACAATTTTCTGCCAATAAACAGAAGTGTAGGTAGGGTTGGAAGAAATAATACATCCAAGTGTGGTATCATCACCATAGCTTGCAGAGAATGAGGTCTGTGAGAGGGTTACACTAGGGACACCTAAAAAACAATTATATTGAATTAAAACTTTTCTAAAACTCAACCCTAATATAAAAACTTGACTTAAATGACTTTAGTTATACAGAGTACAACACACCTTAAATATAACCTCATATGATAGATTAAACTGTATACATTTTTGCATGCAAAATAGTTCCCAATTCAAAAATTGATGGAAGCCAACAAAATTTCAAATCAATATGAAAAGTCTGAAATCTTAAGCCTCTATAATATTTCCCTTTTTTGTTTACCATCAACATGCAAATACTATACGAGGTTAGAGTTCAACTTACTTCCAGCTACAGCTACAACAACCTGTGTACTCTGGCCAGTTCCTACACTATTTGTAGCATAACATACATATGTTCCTTGGTCACCGAATGCAGCATTATTGATGATTAAAGATGGACCTCCGACAGTTGATCCATCATATTTGCCATTACTATTGAGAACATTTATATTAGAAGTGGTTCCACCAACGATCTTTCTCCAGTAAACCTGGGTGTGAAGAGGATCTGCTACAACACTACATTGTACGGTTACAGATTCACCGATGTTGACTGAGTAGGCCAATGGAGAGGCAGTTACGACTGGGATGTCTACAATGATATATTAAAAAGGAATTACGGTATTTCAATTCATTTTTTTGTTGTTCATATCATACTTATGTTAAGTTATAAATCAAAATGGCTATAAAAACACAATTATTCTGACAAATTGATTGCATTACTCAATGTGAGGATTATACTATTATTAATATGTGTTTTATTTTGTTATGCATTTATATTTTCAAAAGAATATTTTAATTGTCTAGTAGAAACATATGAACAATGCTTCCACAATCTTTGTAAACAGATATTTAATAGTACTAAGTCTCTGTAAGAATTGACTGCACTGTAATGAATAAATATAAAGTACTGATTAATCTTTATACCCATGATTTCACACATACAATTCCTACACGTTTAATTGTCCTGTAAATGTGGAAGACATTTGTTATCTGGACATGATTTTTAATGCATTTCAGTGGAATTATAATTAATAAAGGTTATTTTGCATGTGTTTATGATGTGTTAACTTAAGACTCACAGCCTGAACATAGAGACTTTATTCAGTTGGTAAGTCATCAATAAACTCCTTCAAACTAATCTTTATTTTTATCTAAAGTTGCATTGGTTATATGTAACAACTTGTAAAAGTTTTCTTTGAAATGTTTTAAAATTGTCAGACCAGATTGTTTTGCAAGCATCAATGGGAGGACCAGCGCAATATGGAGGTCAGTCATAGTAAAGTCCTGGCCTTGTGGTCATAAACATTTGGAGTACGATTATCATACTCAGACTCAGAATTCAACCAATCAAAATACTGGATTTGGTATTTCGAGCACAATGCAAATTACTTCGATTTCTTTTTATACTCATCCTATCCTGAAGACTGAAATAGGAAATATCTGCGATACTAATGCTACTTACTTCCTACAACATCAAGGTTAGTAGCTGTACTAATTCCTGTTCCAATAGGGTTGGTGACTCTACAGATATAGCTGGCCTGGTCAGATTCCTCAGCGGAGTTGACAATTAAAGATGGAGAGGAGATTGAAGAACCACCATATTTGTTATTGACATTAGTTAGGATGACATCTGTAGCTTGTCCATTGACAACTTTCTCCCATGTGACAGATGTAGCGGCTGGGTTGGCAGTGTACTGACATTCCAGTGTGACAGATGCTCCACGGTTAACAGTGTAATTTGGGACTGGTACATTTACTGTTGGAATACCTTTTAAAATATACAGTAAACTTCATTAAAATAGCAATAGAAATAAAAATATTAAATAATAAATCAAAAATTTTAAATATCAGGAATGTTCTAAATTAATGATTAAAGATTTGCTTTTTCAAACAAAAAAAAAGACATATGCTAATAATATATACTATAAATCATTAATTTTTCAAAAGGATATATGGAATTAGGTTTTTACATACTTCCAACAACATCCAAGAAAGTCTGTTGACTCTGTCCAGTTCCTACACTATTGCTAGCCATACAAATGTAGTATCCTTCATCAGTACCAGCAGCATTACTGACCACCAGGGATGGTGAACTGACAGTACTTCCAGTTAGACGGCCGCTGTTCATGTCTACGTTGACAGCCTGATTGTTGACAATTCTTTGCCACATAACAACGGTGGCAGCAGGGTTGGCAGAAACAGTACACTGTAGTGTGATGGGGTTACCAATGTTGACAGAGTAACTTGTGGACAAAACTGTCACAACTGGGATACCTGAAAAAATCAACATTTTTTTTTTGTATCTCATGATCAATCATAAAAAATAGTTAAACATGTTTCAATTTAAGGAAAGAAGTTTGTAATGATGCAGTTAAAAATATGCTGCTTTGTGCATGCAATGTATAATGACATGGTAAACTCAGTTTACTGAGATTGGTTGAGTGATTGTTGCTAATGCTTAACGTCCAGTGGCAATTATTTCATCACAATTCAGAACAATTACAGAGACTGACTTAGTTCTATTATCTTAGAGATATAAAAGAACCATTTCCAATTTTTTAGGAAGTCAAACTATGTTTTCAGTGATTCTAAATTTTCAAAAAGTTCTCATTTTGAATATTTACTTGTACTTACCAGGAAAAAGCTTTGAATTCATTAAATATATATATACTGTAAATTCAGAGGTTTTTATCCATGCAAATAATGTGAATGGGTGAATATCTGGGTGAATATTGCAATAACAAGAACTTGCATTATGATATCTGATACATATTAATATAATTTTCTGTATGCAGATTTTTCTGAAATTGCAATAATTAATCTTGCATATTTGCCCATTCTTCAAAAATCTCAAAAATAAATGCACGCAATAATTTCTGAATTTTCAGTAAATAAAGCATAAATAAAAAGACTACTTGTTTCAAACATACTTCCAACAACATTCAAGTAGGTCTGTGCACTTGAACCTGTTCCTACACTATTGGTAGCATAACACACATAATATCCAACATCACCAGCAATGGCACTAGTAATGGTGATTGATGGGTTATTGACTGTTGATCCACTGATACGACCAGCAATATTAAGTTGGGTTGGTTGTCCATTGACAATCTTTCTCCATGTGACACTTGTGTGTGCAGGGTTGGCATCAACGTTACACTGAATTGTGAGGTCGTTTCCGACAATGACGCTATACTGTGGTTGAGGAACGGTGACACTAGGGAGACCTGAATAAAATACATTGGATTAGTATGAAATTAAAATCAAAGAAATGCATAGAATGTTTTTATCTAATCACTTTATGATGCAGCTTTATTGGACACAAAATTGGTCTACTGCAATCAATTAATGGATTTTTCCATGAATAATGTGTTTGGATATCAATGAAACCACCTTTATATCACTTTACCATGAATATTAAAGGGGATATGTTCCTTTCTCCATAAAAAATAAATCATCATTTTCCTATTTTTCATTAAAATATGGTCATGTTTATTCAATGCGCAAGTCATAAGAAATATTTATGCTTAAATTTTTTTATCTTGCAAAATAAGTTCAATTACTGATATAAAGACTTAAAAAATCCTAGAAATATGAAATTTATGAACTTTATTAATTTCTTTTAAATTCAAACATTTCGAATTCAAAATGTTGTCCTGAAGTTTACTACAACATATGTGCACACATTCATAAATTGTTCAATCAATTTATCAACCAAAGCGATTCAAGAGAATTTATAGGAAGAGAAAAATCTATTAACCCTATTTCAAGTACATTTTAGAATGACCAAACTTAATTTCCAAGGATGGACGGACCACTCTTTTCACAGTACATCATAGAGTTACTTCCCTTACATCTAATAACTTACTTCCAAGTATAAATAATAATGACAACTTACTTCCAAGAACATCTAAGAATGACTGTGCACTGGTTCCTGTTCCAGCTGCATTTGTAGCAGAGCAAACATAGTAAGCCTCATCACTGTCACCAGCATTTAGAACTGTCAGGGATGGAGTTCCGACTGTTCCACCATTGTATTTGACAGAATTTGCCACATTGATGAAGGATTCAGCTCCATTTGAACTTATCTTCTTCCATGTAACAGAAGAAGCTGATGGTGTTGCGAAAACAGTACACTGGATAGTAACAGAACTGCCAAGGTTAACAGTATATCCCTGTCCTATTGTTACAGATGGAACACCTAAAAATATCATCAAACATCACCAATGATAAACAAAAAATTATATACAATGGGAGACAACTCTCAGTGTATCTAATTGAAAAATGACTGGTACTGAAGTTTTTGCCCCTTATTTCATTAATCACGGCTTCATTTTACATGAGGTTGTGTGTAGGAGGTGGTGTCCCAGGTGGCTAAGACGTTTTATAAAATCAGCTGATTGTTTGTTGCTTAACATCTTTCTGGGTAAGCCCCTTTTTTATATCACAGAGTTAATATAATTCATATCAACTCAAGTCACACTTCGAAAAATTAAAACACTTAACCTATAGTCCACTATAAGCACATGTTTATCACATTGCTAAATATTCTCTCAAAATCCTAAAGTTTATAAAAAAGACATTTTTTTAACACTCCTCGATTTAAATTTAAACACCTATTATAATTTTATTTTTAAGTTTAAAGCGTAGCTGACCTGTCACCAATAAATAATAATCAGTGTAATAAACCATATTTACAGTCATGATATCTCAGTGTATCTAAATACCAAAACTTACTTCCAACAATCTGTAGTTGTGTCTGTTGACTCTGAGATCTACCAATGGCATTTTCAGCGAAACAAGTGTAAACTGCCTGATCATCAGCGTCAGTGTTCAGAACAGTCAGTGATGGTGTGCTTAGTGAAACGCCAGAGTATTTACTGGGATTTGTGTTTGATGAGATGGTTGTAACGACACCGTTCTTGACCTTTTGCCAGTAGACGGAGGTGGCTGGAGGATTACCAGATACAGAACAAACTAACTGTACACTCTGGCCATAGTTGGCACTGTAAGAGGGTTGAGGAACATTCACAGAGAGAACACCTGAAAATCAAATATCACAAATATTGATTTACATGTTTTATAATTTTTAGGTTTAGCCAATACCTGCAAACATAGCATTTATATTTCCTTCATCATAAATACTAAATGTGCTGCAAAAATATAATTTTCTATGGATTAATGTTCAAGGAACTTAAATCATTTGATTCAAGGAAAATTTAAACACCAAGGTAATACTTTTGCTTCTGGATTATAACTTTTGTATGTAGGTTTTGAAGTTTGTTGCTTTGAAAGTAACAAGACAAAGAAAAATAACGGTATGCATTTTCTGCATTTACAATTTTTGGTTTTAATCAATTATGAATTCAACAAAAAATAAAAGTGCTTTCACATTATTTTATTTTTGTTCCGTTCTAAATCGTCAAAATAAACATTTTTTTCGATTTTTTTTAAATGAAAAAAGGACTTACTGCCAGTGACATCAACATAAGACTGTGAGCTAGAGCCAGTTCCAACAGCATTTGTGGCTGTGCAGATGTAATAACCTTCATCACTATCAGCGGTGGATTGAATTGTTAAAGAAGGCCTGTTTCTGGTTCCTCCAATGTATTTGTTGCCGTTAGATATATCAAGGTTTTGGGTTACACCATTAAGTACTCTCTTCCACTGTACAGAATTGTGAAGTGGGTCAGACTGAACTTCGCATTCCACATTTACTGACTGACCAATTTCTACACTATAGTAGTTAGACAAGATTTGGACAACGGGAATATCTAAAAAAATATTCATTAGAGTAATTAATTAATAATTAATAATAAATTAATAATTAAGATCCATTTTGTTACATCTGATGATTCGTTTATTTGGCAATCGCCATGGCAGTCAGCAGGATTTAAGAACATCCGTTGTTCGACCTGCTAGTCAAATGTGTTTTGTTAAAATATACTTTTTCACTTCTTTGGTCTTTTTGAAAATGTTGTTTGTGCTGTATTTAGACCCCTCTACAAAAAATTTGTTTTGCATGCACACATATAAAAATTGCGGTTTTTATCCAACGCAATCATAGGTTTGAACATTGTTTTCAATTTAGACTTGTATATAATATATATATATATATATAACCGTCAAATGAAGTAAAATTGAAGTTACAGTTCATTAATAATACTGTGGATAATAAAAGAATCATCTTAGTACAAATTTTTGTGGAAACAGGAATTTTAATATTTTAGTTGACCTTTTGATTTTGCGGTTTTCACATATTCTCATTCAATATAAAGATAAGATGATGTGGTATAAATGCCAATGAGACAACTCTCCACCAGAGACCAAACAAATGACATAGAAGTTAACATAGAAGTCTATAAAAAATTCTATTTTGTTGAACATCTAGTTAACCTAAACCTATGAAATATAGTACCACCAACAATAATAATGAATTCACTAAGTATCAAGAACACCTGTGGATATTTTGACATTGGATCAACAAATACTCTTTACATCAAACTTTTAACTTAGATGAGGGTCTTGATGGGGTTTATAGAATAGAGAATAATGGACAAAAAGTGCAGAATAAAGGTAGAAAAAAATATAGAATAAAGAAAATGGGCCCCAAAAAAATGAAGAGAATAATGGGGTGTCAAAATATAAAGAATAGAGAATAATGGGCAAAGAATAGAGAATGGGGCAAAAAATAGAGAATGGGCAGAATAGAGAATGGGCAGAATAGAGAACAATGGGCAAAATAGAGAATGGGCAGAATAGAGAACAATGGGCAAAATAGAGAACAATGGGCAGAATAGAGAACAATGGGCAAAATAGAGAACAATGGGCAAAATAGAGAACAATGGGCAAAATAGAGAATGGGCAGAATAGAGAACAATGGGCAGAATAGAGAACAATGGGCAAAATAGAGAACAATGGGCAAAATAGAGAACAATGGGCAAAATAGAGAACAATGGGCAAAATAGAGAAAATGGTGTAAAAAAATAAAAAATAAAGAAATGAAGGACCCCCATCCAGAATCTCTAAGATGAACTTTTTATTGCTGATACATTTACAACACCGAGTAAAGAATGACAAGTCTTTTTCTTTATCTTGTTCAACTGCCATATTTTTTTAATTTCTGTATAAAATTGAATTAAAAAATGTCATCTTACCTCCAACAACATCCAAGTATGTCTGTGAACTTTGACCTTTTCCAATACTGTTGGTAGCAGAACAGACATAGAAAGACTCGTCAGAATTGCCTGCATTACTTATTACCAAGGATGGCTGTGATATAGTAGCACCAGAGTATTTACTACCGTCAATATTTATTGCAGTCTGTACTCCATTTTGGATCTTGGTCCAAGATACAGAATTATGGATTGGATTGGCTGTCACAGTACACACCAATGTGATAGAGTTTCCATAGTTTACATTGTATGAGTTGGAGCCAATGTTAACAATTGGAATACCTGTTATTAAAAATTATTTAAGTTAATGTCATAAAATTTAACTACACGTATTGCAGTATATAAAGTGAAACATATTACTATGAAGATCCAGTACTATTAACTTAGTTCAAAGAAATAATCAAAAACATTTTTTACATTTATTAAGTTTAATATTTTTTTTATTTACTGTTGCTTTCAACCTGTATCCAGTCAAATGATATCCTATCAACCTGTATACAGTGAAATGATATCCTATCAACCTGTATACAGTGAAATGATATCCTTTCAACCTGTATCCAGTCAAATGATATCCTATCAACCTGTATACAGTGTAATGATATCCTTTCAACCTGTATCCAGTGAAATGATATCCTTTCAACCTGTATCCAGTCAAATGATATCCTATCAACCTGTATACAGTGTAATGATATCCTTTCAACTTGTATCCAGTCAAATGATATCCTATCAACCTGTATACAGTGAAATGATATCCTTTCAACCTGTATCCAGTGAAATGATATCCTTTCAACCTGTATCCAGTCAAATGATATCCTATCAACCTGTATACAGTGAAATGATATCCTTTCAACCTGTATCCAGTGAAATGATATCCTTTCAACCTGTATACAGTCAAATGATATCCTATCAAACATTGTTTACATACTTAGAAATGTTCCAGTTTAGTTTTTACACCAGTAATGTCATATTATGCAACATTTTTGCTTAAAACTATTATAGAGAGAAAAATAAGAAAAAAGAAAAAAAAAGAAAAAGAATGAACTTGCTTCACATAGACATGATTTCCATATACTTACTTCCAATGATATCAAGGTATGTCTGAGAACTCTGACCAGTTCCAACTTCATTGGTAGCAAAACATACATAATAAGCTTCATCACCGGACTGAGAAGCACTGATTGTCAGAGATGGAGTATTGACAGTTGATCCTGAATATCTATTAGAACTTGAAGTAGAGATTGTTGTAGCGACACCACCAATTACCTTCTGCCAGTAAACAGTGGTATGCTGGGGTGAAGCAGTAACGGTACATTCCAGGGTGGCAGTTTGTCCGATGTTGACAGTGTACAAACTCTGCAGAACTTTGACATTTGGGATATCTGAAAAAGACAAAAAAAATATTCAATTACATTTTTGAAATTTTTACATATTTTATGAAGAATATTTATGATATCAAATTATAAAGCCTTAATTTTTATCCATGATACATTTCCTTCTTTCAAAATAAATGCACCACAAAAAGCTAACAAAGAAAAATATTCAAAAAATGAAATACAAAATAAATAAGGCAAATATAAATTTTACCTTTAGAAAGATTTACTAAAATAATTTCCCAAGTAAGTCAATGGGGAGTGAGGTCAAAGAGTAAATTTTTGGCCAAATAGTGAAAAAGTTTTAAGTTGAAGTGATGGAAAAATTGAGGGTCCAAAATAAATCCACTGGTAAGTGTTTGTATTAACAATTTGTGAGCCACAACATTCTGAAGATTCTGCAAAAAACTGCCTTTACGATTATTTCCCCAGAATTTTTTACAAGTTAAAATGGCAGCAACGAAAGTTGATGAAACTACTTTCAATAAGTAACATACTTCCTGTAACATCCAAGAATGTTTGTTGACTGTTTCCCGTTCCTATTGCATTGGAGGCATAGCAAACGTAGTTGCCTTCATCAGACAAGTCTGGATTGTAAATGACCAGTGATGGGTTTGTAATAGAAGCACCATCATATCTATTGCTGTTTGTATCAATGTCAATGGTCTGGCCATTAGCGCTGATTCTCTTCCAATAAACTGTATTAGCAGGGGGTGTGGCTACCACTGTACAACCCAATGTCACAGTAGCACCAATATTAGTGTTGTAGTTTGGCAGGGATACAGTCACAGTAGGGATATCTGAAATAAAAATAAACTTTGACATCAGATATTGATATAAACCTAGATTTCATCTGGAACTTTTGACCATCTGAAAAACAAACTTACTAATTATCATATTAAGGAACCAACTTTTTAGAAGTACACAAAAAATATATACTATTCAAACCTCCTCAAATCATTTTTGACAAATTTCTGAATGTTTTCGTAAAGGATCTATATAACCATCCTTTAAAAAGGTACTATTCCTTCTGTAAGAAATGATTTAAAGAAAGTGTTATTATTGTATATATTACAAATTATATGATATTTTGTATTTCATATTTTGAATATTTGCAGACATCATTCCCTGATTTAAAAGACAGAAAAGAGTTAACTGTGTGCATAGGAGACTGCTGGTAAGGATTTATAACAATTAAATCAGAGATTGATGTCAGCAAAAAAAATCTCTAGTTGAAATTTACAAATACATGGATATTATAAAAGAATGTTTCTTATTCAGTTCAGAGGTTAAATAATTATATGATTCCAAATTTTTTTAGTATAATGAATAAAAGATGTGGGTATATGTCAATGAGACAGCAACCCAAGAATGCTCAAAATTAAGGCATCTACAAGATTTTAATCAAATCTTTCATTTGACTATTTCATTGAGCTGTTAACCTGTTGCAATTCTGAAAAAAACAAGAATAAATATATGTTTACTTTTAAACAATAAAAAAAAAATGTTTACCATCAACCATAAATAGAGGGTTAATATATAAATACAGAGGCATAGTCAAATCATTTAAGTTAAAAATGACCTTGTAAAAATTTTGTGTCACAAGACAAAGAACTATAATCAACCATTTAGGACTTTTCTTCACTGATTTATCTAAAAATTCTTTGAACGATCTCAATACTTTTTCTCTTCTGATATGAAAATAAAAAGGAAAACCTTTTGTTTTCAGGACAGACTAATATGGAATTCACTTATAATACTCAAAAGCATTTTCAGCTGTAATTTTCAGACTTGATAACTTTATTGATTTCATCTAATATGGATATCAATGCCAAATCACCATAAATGTTAGTGTGAATACTCTTTACAAAAAGATGTTTAAAGTTAAGGCGTTATAGAGTACATTTTGCGTTTGAAAGCCTCACGCAATGTAAAACTATGCCTTTTTGAAAGTTTATAGGATATTATTCTGTAGTAATTCTTTTTCAGTCATGCTAAAACAAATTGAACAAAACATATTGAACATAGAAGTATATAATCACTGCCAATTAAACATTTAATAAGCTCTCATGCAGGTGTCGTACCAAGGCCAAGTGGTTAAAAGAAAGAACAATGCAAATATAAATGTGTTCAAAATGTTTATTGTCAGTATGAACAAACATAAATAAATGTACATGACATGCAGGTATAAGACTTGTGCAGGAAACCTACTTCCAGTTACATCTAAGAAAGTCTGAGCAGATGATGCTGTTCCTACAGCATTAGAGGCAGAGCAAATGTAATATCCTTCGTCACTATTTCGGGCACTTAGAACACTTAAGCTAGGGTTGTTCACTGTAGGAGTATTATAATTAGACGATGATGAATCAATAATCTGTTGTTGTCCATTTATAACTCTGTACCACTGAACTATTGTTGCCGTGGGATTAGCAGTTATGACACATTCCAATGTAGCTGTATTGCCCAATAACACACTGTAACTGTTTGATAAAACACGGACAACTGGAACATCTACAAACATCAGATTAATCATATAAACACTCCATCTATTTAAACTATTAATATTACTAAAAAGATTTAGAAACTTTAAAAATCAACATTTGTATATCTATTTGTACATTATTGAAAATTTAAATAAAACAATTGAGTTATCTCCCTTATACAGTTTGTTGAAAGAAATTGGCTTGGTAAACAATATTGAACATTTGTTTGCCATAGCTTATTCTAGTTATCTCCCTTATAAAGTATGTTGAAAGAAATAAGCTTGGTAAAAACAATGAACACTTGTTTGCCATGGCCTACTTATTAACCCAATTTGTTGTCAGGATTTATCATTATTAACATTTAAATACAAAAAAAAAAGTATCAAATAAATCTAGATTTATGAACATCTCCAATTTGGGTTGACTAGGCTATGCCAAAGAAGGTCCAAGAATTATACAAGTTTGTATAAATTTTAAATATACATACTTCCAAGTACATCAACATATGTCTGTGAACTCTGACCAGTTCCTACACTATTCGAAGCAAAACAGATGAAAAATGTTTCATCGTTCATGTCAGTGTTTGCAATGGTAAGTGACGGCTGGTTCACTGTAGATCCAATGTATTTGGCAGTGTTCATATCAATGGCAACTTCTTGACCTCCTTGAACTTTCTTCCAGAAGACAGTTGTATGTTGTGGTGCAGCTGTCACAGTGCAAACTAAAGTAACACTTTCTCCATAGTTGACAGAGTAAGAAGATTTTTCAACAGTAACAATTGGTATATCTAAAAAGAAAATTTAATGTGAAAATATTTTAGAGTTGTCTCCCATGTTATAAAAAAATATTTTAAGTTCTCCTATTACGAAAAAAAATTTTTTTTTAGTGCCTTCGAGTCTCAATGGTAAAATTGTTCATCATGTTTGAAGAAACTTTTGCAAAAATGTAGATTAAAAAGAACACAAATCGTATCTCATTATAAACTTAGAAAATTCGTAAGGGTTCCGCGGAACCCAGTGTCTCGCCTACTTTTGCTGTTAATTGCAGGCTCAACAAAAATGAGGAAAAAAATCAATAAAAATATTCCTTTAGATACTATCTTTTGATTGTAAGAAGCTTCTGTCAAAGTTTGGTATAAATCCAGGATAGTTTATGAATCTAATAAATGTTTTAAAAACTTTAAACTGCAGACTGTATTTAATGTTAACTGGAAGTCCATTTATAAGTAAAATACGGATAAACAGGTAAAAATTTTAACAAAATTTTCTTCTAGATACCAGCTTTTGATCATAAACAAGCTTCTGTCCAAATTTGGTACATATCCAGGATAGTTTAAGAAAGTTATTAAAATTTTAAAAACTTTAACCACAGAGTGAATGTATTGTTTCCTGGCAGGAAAAATAAGTCCATTTATAAGTAAAATACGGAAAAAATAAAAAAATTTTTTTAACAAATTTACTTCTGGATACTATCTTATGATCATAAACAAGCTTCTGTCCAAGTTTGGTAGAAATCCAGGATAGTTTAAGAAAGTTATTAAAATTTCAAAAACTTTAACCACAGAGTGAATATTTGTGGATGCCGCCGACGCCGACAGAATGTAGGATCGCTATGTCTCGCTTTTTCGACTAAAGTTGAAGGCTCGACAAAAATGAAAATTTTTACATACCATGTAAAATTTAACATTGAAAAACTTAGGGCTTAGAAGAAACAGTAATCTTACTTCCAACAACTGTTAATGTTGTAGTTTCACTCCTTCCTGTGCCAACACTGTTTGTAGCATGACACCGGTAGTTAGCTATATCACTAAGATCTGTACTGAGAATGACTAGAGATGGGGATGAGACAGATGACCCGGAATACTTGGCAGAGTTTGACATTTGTATTGTTTGCTCTTGTTGATTTCCAAAAGCCCTTGTCCAGAAGACGTTAGTTTCTGGTGGTGTGGCGGAGACTGAACATGCCAAGGTTATAGAATTTCCAATATTTACACGGTATGCACTCTGCACAATACTGACCACTGGGATGCCTGAAGAATAAAAATTTGATATACTAACATGAATTCATAAATAACCTTCCAATTGGATGCTGAAAAATAAAAGCACTTTTCCAGTGAGCCATTCCTAACTCAAAATATTTTCAAATTACTATAAAATACAAATTAGAACTTTAACACAAAATTAATGGGTTAATATTAAAGACTGCTTGAAATGTCTTAAAAAAAAAAACATTTTTGTGATAAGCTATAAGTTTTATAGAACATTAGAACGGTTATGTTAGAAGTTAAGTGAACAATTAGATTAAAAGTTCATTCAGTACACTTTATTGAATTAAAGATGGACATTCACAGTCAGAATATATATTGTCAATCCTATAATCAGATTGAGAGGTGTATATAGTGTCATCATCTGTGTTGTCCAAACAATTTTGTGACAGCAGCTTGTCTAGTTGCATAAAATGATAAGTGTTGTCCAAGGTCGTTTAATTAAGACAGTCTGCTTGATTGCAAGAAATTTATTTTTTCAGAAGTTTGGTGGACATGATGTCCTTTATTTTTAAAGTATAACATATGTACAGTAACTAGCAATTTACTTCCATCTTATTAAAGTCAACATAAAAAGTGGATTGATGGTGACCTATATTTTAGCACATGCTTAATCCTGCTAATATTTAGGAATTCAATACCCAAAAGTAAGATTAAATTACTTTTAAAAATATTTCAAATAGAATTTTTAATCATTTCATTCAGTGAGGATTCTACTTCATCAATATTATCTCCCCATTACGCCAAACTAATTTTTTCAATCATGAAAATGGAAGCCATTGTAGGGATGATGCGCTGTCAATTAAGCTCTTGAAAACCAATAAATGTATCCACTTAGCATCATTATGATCATTACATGACAGCTGTATTTTCAAAGAAAAATATATCTATAAAGCATCATTAGTATACTTTTGTGCCTTTTGTCAACTTAAAACTATTGTCTGATCGGTTGTCAGGGTAAGTTTTATTGTGAATTCTTTTCCAATGAACCATTCCTAACTCAAGATGTTTTCCAAATACAGTAAAATACAATCAGAACATTCATGCAAATTTAATGGATCTAAAAAACTGAATATAAACTTTTTATGTGACCAGCTATATGCTTCATAGAACATTAGAACTTTAGAACGTTAGAAGTTATTTGAACAATAAGATTCAAAGTCTGCTGAGTAAATCTTATTGAATTAAAGATGGACGTTCACAGTCAGAATATATATTGTCAATCCTATAATCAGATTGAGAGGTGTATATAGTGTCATCATCTGTGTTGTCCAAACAATTCTGTCACAGTAGTGTGGCTAGTCGCATAAAATCATGTTTTTTTAAATGTTTGAAACAGTATGATCCTCTGCCAGAAACTTATTTTTCAGACCAGTTTGGAGGGTAACAGTATGTTATTTACTTTTGAGAGTATATACAGTAACTTGCAATTAACTTTTAACTTCCATCTTATTAAAAGTCAACATAAGAAGTGGATTGATGAAAACCTATATTTTAGCACATGCTAAATCATGTCAATATCTAAGAATTCCATATCCAAAAGCTGAGACTACTATAACACATGTGTTATAGTAGTCTCAGCCAAAAGTAAAAAAATTAAAGTACTTTAAACATTTCCAAATAAGAATTTTAAACAGTTCCTTGAATGATGGAAACAATTATTGTTTTAAATTTTATATGAAATCCAATAATTACTTCCATGTTCTAGAAATATATAAATGACTTACTGCCAACGACATCCAGGAAAGTTTGACTGCTTAATCCAGTTCCAGCCAGATTTGTTGCATAACAGACATAATTGCCCTCATCCGAGTTGCCTGCATTTCTGATGGTCAAGGATGGATTGTCCACTGTTGATCCACTATATCTGTTGGTGTTTGAATTCAGGTCAATATCTTGTAACTGCCCGTTAACAATTCTACGCCAAAAAACGGTGGTTTCTTTCGGAGTAGCAATGACTTCGCAACCAAGAGTAATGGTGTTTCCAAGGATGACTGTGTATGTGTTTGACAAGACATTGACTGTTGGGATGTCTGAAAAAAATTTGGATACCATAAATATTGAAGCATTCTTATGCAGGCATGATTATGATAGATTCTGAATCCTATTGTGTATGATGAGACAAGATCCACCATTTTTAAAATTTTAAATATGTTAATATAAACTGATTTTCTTTTAAATGTTTTTTAATACAGATGTGTTTTGCTCATTGATGAAGACTATATGGTGACCTGTAATTCTTTGCATCTTTGTCCATTGGTCTTTAGGGATAGTTGTCTCATTGGCAATCATACCACAGCTCCTTAATTTTTTTTTTATGGTATTAGCTATTTTGTATATATTTGTGTAGTTCTACCCTAAAGTGATTTAAAAGAACAATTAGAGCTATTTTCCTAATGCTTGTAGTTTAAAGGTTAGGTTTGCTTGCTTGCTTTATTTGTATAAATGTTTACTCAAGCATTGTAGTTAAGATTGACATCTGCAATCAATAGATGGTGGGGCTTCAGTTTGTATACATTATACTTAAATGTTATTGGATGTTAAGTATAATGTATACAAGCTGAAGCCCCGCCTACCTATTGATTCCAGATGCCAATCTCAATTACAATACTTGAGCAAATATTTATACAAAGCAAGCAAGCCAACCAAACCGTTAAACTACATGCATTAGGAAATTAGCACTAACTGTCAGCAGAACTTACTTCCAAGGACATCAAGAAAAGTTTGATCACTAGATCCAGTTCCAACACTATTCTCAGCAAAACACTGATAAAATCCTTCATCATTCAGGTCTAGTCCAGAGATGGTCAAGGATGGCTGACCAACAGATGATCCAGCATATTTTCCTGAATTGAATGAGACTTCAGTCATCTGCCCATTCTTTAATTGTTGCCAGTAAACTCTGGTCTCAGGTGGGTTAGCTGATACTGTACATACTAAAGTGACGGACTGTCCATAGTCACCATTGTACTGGGACTGGCTAACAGTCACTATAGGGATAGCTGTAAAAAATTAAAGGAATTTTTGATTAAATATGCCTTTATCCTTACTTTTCCATTTTAAATAAACTCACTTTTTTTCCAAGTTAAAATACATATATTGCATATTTACACAGATTTCAAACTATCGGAGAATTATCACGGCTTAAAATAAATGTGAACTTCATTATCAGAATGTGTATTATCAATCCTATCATCAAATGAGAGTTGTATTGATATATATCATAATTTGCTACATTTTAGGTGGCTAGACACTTAAATTAGTATGTGATAGAATTTTTTTGGTAGGACTCCGAGTCTGTTATTGTAAATATTTTCAAAATCATTGGTACTTAAAACCTGTTTATCTCCCCTGATTTGTTGACCAAATTGAACTTGCAATGAGGTGTAAGCTTTTGCTCTGTGTTGGAAGCCTGACTGACTGAGATGAAGACAGTAATAAATGGTTTTGTAAGTGCTTGTATGTATTTTTGTTAATTATTACACAATTTCCTTTTTTTTCCATTATATATTTGCAAAGGTTACCTCCCCTGGCAAACTCGCACGATTCATCAAGTTGATGATTGAAGTATGTTATTTAAATTTATTTTTAAGAATAAAACCAAAAGTTAAAAGCAAGATTTTTTTTTCAAAATGTAAATATAAATTTTCAGTGTAAATTTTAAATTTAAAGCATCTAACAATTTGTAAAGACAGAAACGGATCTAAATTTGCAGCTCCCATTGATGTTGAGTTTGACAGTACCAATATACATTCCAAACCATTCTTGTTATCTACATTATGATTTACCACTCTAGAACCTGTTGTTTCCTCCAACTGCTAAATTGTTATTTGGTCTTCAAAACTGTCATTTTGTCATTAGAACTTTTTCTAATGATGTCAAACAATTTAAAATGAGGAACAAAGTAACATTTTGAAAACTATACTATAAACTTCCAGCATATCGGAAGTTCTTATACATAAGCTTAAACTTGCTTTACATCAATTATGTGTAGCCACTTTATTTCACTAAGTTGGTAACTTGTTCCCTGTTTTTAAAATTTACTTACTTCCACTGACATCCAAAAATGTTTGTTGACTGGTACCTATTCCAACTGCATTGGTAGCAGTACATATGTAATTGCCTTCATCAGCAAAGTCAGCTTGTGAAATTATCAGAGATGGTGAATTGACTGTGGAACCACTCAATCTGTTATTGCCTCCAACAGATACATCAATAGTTTGACCTCCAACTACTCTCTGCCACTGTACAACTGTGTGGAGTGGGTTAGCATTGACCACACACTGCAAAGTTACTGTACCACTGACCACTACGCTATAACTATTTGATAATAAAGCTACTACTGGAATACCTAAAAATAGAAATAGTAATACATGTATATCTTTATATATTCCAAAGTATCTGCAGCTTCAGGTTATTCAAGCAAAAATGTTCTGAGAGGGTTGGAAGTTATTCATGGACAGAAAGTCTTCTGCAAAATTTTCATTGTTTACTGTACAGATAAAAAATAATTCATTTAAAACCACCCATAGAAATCCATTCTTGCCAGGTATATTCTATGATAAAGCAAAAACAAAACCTGAAAATTCCTGGGGTCTATCAAATAGTTATCATTTAGAATTCTACTTAATGTATTCTTTGTTCAATTTCTAATTTTTGAAAGGTAAACAAGAGTTACTTGTATTTTGCTTTTAGAATTTTTTTTTCAAATTCATCTTCAAAGGTGCAGTTTGTAATTAAAAAAAAAATGTTTTATCAAAAATAAGGTACAGTCTGATCTGAAAAAAAATCCTCTATATTTGCTTTACAAGAATAAATACCAGCATTTATATAAATACTTTATAAATATACAATTTGTCAAATCAGATGATGAAAGTTTCAAACAAAAATTGCATTACAGTTTCAAGAAAATCACTAGATTGGGCATAATTTCATGTAAAAAAATGTGCATTTAAAATTACAAATGTTCTCATCCCATAAAATATTTCCTTACCTCCAGCAACATCTACAGTTGTCTGAGAACTCTGTCCAGTTCCTACTCCATTTGTAGCAAAACAAACATAAGATGCTTCATCGCTAAGGACAACATTATTGATAGTTAGAGATGGTATGTTGACAGTTGATCCACTATATTTGTTACTACTGACGACATTGATATTAGTTGGTTGTCCGTTCTGGATTTTTTGCCAGTAGACTAAAGTGTGAACTGGATTGGCTGTCACCGTACAAGTCAAGGTCACAGTCTGCCCATAGTCCACATTGTATAGTTGTTGCGGTACCACAACAGATGGAATATCTGCAAATAAAATATAGAAAATTTTATTATTTGAAAAGAACAGGGATGAATTGATTCTAAAGCTAGTTTTGAATCAAAAATATGTTATATATATGACTAAATGATGATATATGGCTGTTTATGTTGAATGGCAAATTAAATGAATATTCAGGACTAGAACATGTTAAATGCAATATGAATATGAAACCTGCTTTGTTCTAGACGGACACATTGAGCCAGATTTTTAACATAACAGTTCTCAGGAAGACATGTCAGCCTACCAGGAAACATTATTCTGACTCCTGGCCATTCAGTCTTACTCCTAAAATCATGGTACTTAATGTAGAAGCAACAAATGTCAATTTTCCTGGCAAAGGATTAAACCCAAAATCCCCAGCACTCAAAGTGAGCACGCTAAGACAAAACCACTCAGGCACTTTGTTTTATCACCAGAAAAAAGTTTTATAAAACAGGAAAATATTAAATTGATCATATGTCTTGTTTTGCATGTCAATATTTCAAGGTATTGAGCAAAACAGGAACATTTTAAAATGTTCCATTTACAATGCTCTGAGTGCTTGAAAAATAAGCCACTTTTTTTCTTTCTATTTTTGTTATACTTACTTCCAACAACATCTAGAACTGTTGATGTGCTCTGACCAGTACCAATACTGTTTGTTGCATAGCAGACGTAGGAAGCTTCATCATCGAGATCTGCATTATTGATGACAAGTGATGGAGAAAAAACAGATGAACCAGAATATTTGCCGCTATTTGCCACAAGAATATCAGTTGCCACGCCATTCTTTATTTTCTTCCAATTAACACTTGTTTGTGCAGGATTAGCTGTTACAGTACAGCCTAAAGTAACTTGTCGGCCAAAATCTACTGCATAGTTTGGTAAGGTTACAACAACAGTTGGGGGCTCTGAAAGAATTTTTAAGTTTTATTAATAAACAAAAAAGCTAATACAATTATTATTTGGAAACTTGTTTCATATAAAACTACAGAGTACTTTTAGAATTAAATCTGTACATTTTTACCTTGCTTCATTGGATAAAAAAGAAATGGTATTGAAAGGTCATTTTATCTCATTCCCATAATATTTCCAACTTTAAAAACAATCAAAATATTTGCTTTCACAAAAAAATCATATGAACACTCAAAATAGAATGGATTGTTAAATGGCTTTGAAAGACATGTCAGCTTTCAAAATAATCTTGGAAAGCATGAAGGGAACTACAAATGTAAAACTGGAATTAAAAGGAGAAGGTTTCTTAAAACTCATATTTTGGACCAAAGATCATTTTACATCAACTTACGGCCTTGAATATCCAAAAATCCTTCAGAACTTCGACCAGTGCCAACAATGTTGGTAGCATGACATCTATAATTTCCTTCATCACTGAAATCCAAATCATTAATTGTCAGTGATGGATTAACAGTTGTAGATCCACCATATTTGCTGGGGTTGGTGGATGGACCTATTGTTGACACCACTCCATTAATATCACGTTCCCAATAGACTGACTGAGCAAAAGGATTGGCTGTAACTGTACATCCTATTGTTATGATGTTACCAACTAAAGCTTGGTAGTTGGACGATCCAATGATAACAGTAGGAACATCTAAAAGTCGGGAAAAAATGTATTACAGAAAAGATGCATGGATCTTGACAAAAAAAGGGGGGAGATCCTTACAATGGGATGAGAATCCATTATAAATTAATTATTACTAAATTTAAACTTTGGTAGGAACACCTCATTTAAGTTCTGATATTTGTCTACTCCACTGTTTTATTATCTGAAGTTTTGAGGTTTCTAGTGACCTAGTTAAGTTTTCACAGAGTAACTTTTCTGGTCAATATACTTTATTTTATTTCAAGATTGGATGGAAAAGTCCCCATTCAAATTCCAATATGGAAGATTTATATGCATTTATTTTTTCTAGTTTTTTATTTATTTTTACTCATCCTCATTTCTTTGACTAAGTAGAGCTTTTTAGTCCATAAAAAAAATCACTAAATATCACATTTTATAGGATAAAAATACCTCTTGTGTATACTCTTAGAGATTTGGAAAATAGTTTGACACCTCTAGATGTATTTTTTTTGTATAGTTGGGTTGCTGCATCACTGATGTTACTACACCAATTTTCATTTTATTCATAACTAAATCTTACATCAGTTGACATAAATAAACTTGATGACTAACTTAAAAAAATTACAAGTAATGTTGTTTTCATCTATATTAAAAAGGTATTATTTGCATTTCATAAATTCATTCTTTAATATACTTTCAAACTGTTTATTTAGCATTTAAATTCTTAAAATGAATTTCTGGATTAAAATAATAATTCAATAGTGTAAATATTAACATGTACTTAGACTGGTTTCTTAGGTCAACAGTTGTTAAGAAGTTTCTCACACTTTAAACAATTTTCCTTCCATGACCTAAGCTTATATCCAATTAAGCTGTTGGCTATATTAAATTTTACCAACCTGTGAAAAATGCCATGATTACTCTAGTAATAAGGTTCAGTGAAAATGCTTCTTTTGTATTTAAATATAATTACAAATCCTGTCTCTAAACTAGTTGGGGTTTTTTTCATTTAAAACAGAGGATATATTTAATTGTCTAACATCAAAAATCCTGGCACCAATTAGGATAAAGATTTAATGGAAAATCTTAACTTGTGAACCATCAAAAGGATATAAAGACAAGCATTAATGTTTCAGAAAAAGTAATTAGCTGGAGGGTCCAAAATTTTTTTTTTACAGTTTGTAGGTATGAACATAGGTCAGCAGAGGTATTCCTTTCAAACACTGGTCTGAATAAAAAAATACTAGCATAAAGAAGGATGAAAAAATGCAGCAATTGTCAATGTTTAGTGTTCATATTACATGGACTTGGGAAGTACTTTTTTTAATAGATTTACTGTATAACATAATCTTATCTACATTTTTTTTTCACCAGTCATTGAACTTTTAATATAACAATACATATTCATAAAAAAAAAAAATAAGAAAAAATATATATCTTACATTGCAAAACTACTTAAATATACCTACCTGAGGTCGTCTGTTCATGTTCACGAGACAAATTCAGAGACAAACAGCTAAATATGTTCTCGATGACATCTGCTTACTTTAAGCAATATGAAAAGTGCAATCATATTTTACCAAGGTGTCTTAACAACATATCAATTCAATGTGAATATATGGTGCCGTTTAATATAGAAGGTGTGTATTGGTTGATTTTAAACAAAAGGGATATGGGATTTCAATGTTTGTCGAGGATTTAATATATAGGGTTGGGTACCACACTCTTGTTATATGGGTCACAGGAACACAAGTACTTACTACCAACAATATCCAGTGTCGTCGGATTACTTTCAGCAAGACCGACAACATTTTCAGCAAAACATTTATAAACACCCTCATCTTCCAAGATGGCGTTTGAAATTGTAAGTGACGGAGTACTTATAGAAGAACCACTGTATTTGATAGAATTTGTCACTTCGATTTGAGAGGTGACATCATTCTTAGTGGCTTCCCAATAAACACGAGTAGCTGCTGGTGTTCCACTTATAACACATTCTAAAGTAACAGTATCAGAATAATCCTCCCTGTATGTACTTTGGGGGATGTTGACGGTCAGTACACCTAGTAGAAAGAAGAAAAACTTGAACAAAGAATTCCAAGTACAAAACTTGGCACAGGGAAGACAATTAAGAGGATTGGGATTGGTTAAATATATTCTAAACTCAGTACATGAAAAGGACAAACATAAGGTCCATATATTTATCAAATTAGTTGTAAGCAAATGTCAGATTATTAGAAGGCCCTCTTCAAAATTCAATATTTGTGTAGCAAAAATTATCTTATTTCCATGGTGCTTTAAATCCCAGAAAGGCCAAATGTTTAACTCTGTCCTTAAACAAATTCAAAATAAAATAAGAACTATAAATATAAAAATAAGAAGATGTGGTTATTTGATTGCCAATGAGACAACTCTCCACAAGAGACCAAATGTATATAAAGTCCATATAGAATATAGCTGAAGGAAATAGTTACCACTGACAATTACTGAAGTCTGATTGACTTCTAGCTGTTTCTCTTATAGTACATTAACTATATAAAATATATATTTATAGTTCAAAAACTTCATCAGAAAACGCATAGGTGACAGAACAGCAGACAGCGAGGGGGATATTTTATACTTTAATTTTAGCCAAAAATTCATGAAAGTCATTGTGTAAATGTACCGATGATAAAAGAAAATACTACTATCTTTATCAGTAAGTCAATTTATAACTGAATTACTGCCTGTAACTTGACAACTGTCAAATTGCCTGCAACAACAAAATAAATTTATCGCAGTAAAAGTTTAATCCATTTATTTAATTTTACATAGCATTTTTTGGGAGAGAGGAGAGAAGGGTGACATACCTTTATATAGAGTTTGTTACTCTTTGATTTGCATTTGTTTTAAAAATAATTGTTGTTAGAAAATCAAAATGAAAGCATTGCCTAAAATAAAAGATTTTTTTTATCTTTAACAAAAGGGCTGTAACAGTGAATATACAAAGACAAACATAAGTTTGGTTGAATCCAGCGAAAAAGGTGTTACTTTCTTTGATGTTCCGGTAAAATGCTGTGACAGTCATCTTACAAATGTGTCAACACTTATCATTGCAGGTTTAAGTCATCATTTTAGATGCTGTCAACCTTGCTCTGCAACTGTTCAGGAGTCATGAAATTACTGGAATTCTTACTACGTTTTCTGTATAGACTAGTTGTACAACAAATTTTGTTTTCTCAAGCACTCACCTTTATTCACAACATGACAGTCAAAGTACATATTTTGTTGCATAAAGTAGTAATTTTAATTTTTCAAAAACTCTATCAAAATAAAGATTATTTGTTTTAACCATAAGGAAGAGGTTTATCTCTTTATTTATAATGTGTCCCAAAGGAAGGACATTTTAACTCAGATCTGCTTTTAAACAATGCACATATTTCACAAAGAGCAATGAGAAAATTTATAATGTTAATGCAAAATACATTTTACAAAAAGAGCGACTGCTAGATAATCATTTACATTCAATAGTTTAAATACATGACCAATATATTTATATGCAGAACTATATATGTATATATATCAAACTTCTTAAATGAAAATAAAGTTAATTATTGAATAACAAATTTATATTTTGATTAATATTTGTTGTCAATATTAAATTATTAATTCTAACCAAGTATCTAAGCGACTCTTTATTCAAAGGTGTGGACTAACAGTGAAGGAAAAAACTTGTGTTGTCATTAATGATTTGTATTTGAGCTTTAAGATATGGCTTTGGGATGATAAGGGCATACAATATGTCTCCTTTAAAAAGTAGCCGTAAAAAAAAAAATAAATTCATTTTGAAATTTGGAGCCGTGCCTTCCATACCTTTATAGCCTAAAAACTAGATACACTTTCGGGCAAAATAATAAAAACCATTTGTAGAACTTACTGCCTGTTACTGAAAGTGTTGTTTCCTGACTGGTTCCAGTTCCAACCGCATTTGTAGCAGAGCACCTGTAGACACCTGAATCGGACGTCACAGTATTGGAAATGGTGAGAGATGGCGTATTGACTGAGCCACCGAAATATTTTGCTGAATTTCCTATATTAATTGTTGATGGTACACCATTTATAACTTTCTGCCAAGTTACAGTGGTGTGTTGAGGATTAGCAGTTATTTGGCACTCAATAGTAATCGGGTTTCCATACAAGATACTGTAGGTTGGAGATGGAATAGTGACTGTAGGTATATCTGAAAAAAGAAATTATTGCCATCATTACATACACTTGATACTAAATTTCAATGCAATTCTAAAATTAAATGCAAATGAAAATTCAAGATCATTCAAGACACACATTGTAAAGTGAAATATCAGAAGAAATTACAATTAATAATAAAACAATACAGACAATTATTAAGTCAGAAAAAATTCACTTTTGTACACATTTTTTTCCTGCATTTTGTGTTTCAGAATGCTCATTTTCATCCTGTCTTGTGCAAGTTTTGTCCGCTAAATGCTAAATTTATATTTTGTTCTTACTTCCAGTAACATCCAAGAATGCATTTTGACTAGATGATGTTCCTGCAATGTTAGTAGCACTGCAGACATAGTTTGCTTCATCATTCTGAGCAACATTAAATATGGTCAAGGATGGGTTGTTAACGGAACCTCCTTGGTATTTTCCGCTATTGCCGATGTTGATATTAGTGGTTTGACCTCCAGAGTTCTTTGTCCAGGATACTGAAGAAGCTGAGGGTAGCCCAGTTACAGTGCAGCCTATTGTGACACTGTTACTTCCCAGAACAGCAGATAAAGATGTCTGATCAATTGTCACAGAAAGTAATCCTTTGAAGAAAAATGGAATAGATCAGTTTTAAAATATAGTGTATCTCACCCAACGAAAATATCTCAAATTAAACTATCCATGTTATGTCGTAACAAATAATTTAACAAATATAACTTCAATAAGTTATAACATTCTGCAGAACCCAGTGTCTCACCTACTTTTGCTGTTAATCGCAGGCTCAACAAAAATGAGGAAAAAAAATTTACTTCTGGATACTATCTTATGATCATAAACAAGCTTCTGTCCTAGTTTGGTAGAAATCCAGAATAGTTTAAGAAAGTTATTAAAATTTTAAAAACTTTAACCACAGAGTGAATGTAATGTTTCCTGGCAGAAAAACTAAGTCCATTCAGAGGTAAATTACGGAAAAAATGGAATTTTTTTATTGCAAAATTTACTTCTGGATACTATCTTATGATCATAAACAAGCTTCTGTCCTAGTTTGGTAGAAATCCAGGATAGTTTAAGAAAGTTATTAAAATTTAAAAAACTTTAACCACAGAATGAATACTTGTGGACGACTATAACGACGGAATGTAGGATTGCTATGTCTCGCTTTTTCGACAAAAGTCGAAGGCTCGACAAAAATGGTTGACAAAAGAAATGAAATGCAATTATAATGTTATAAAAGAACTTTACAAAAAAGTGATAATTTAAAATATAAATTTATCAAACAAAAATTTTTATACACATATATGAATCTACCCTTCTCCAAATTGAATTCATTAGCACAAACAATAATTTAATCACTGTTGAGAATAAACAAAACAAAAACAAAAAGAGAAAAACAAGGCTAAAAAGGATAGGGGTCTTAGCAGTACTTTGTTAAGGGTGTCTACTGAAACTATAGACTAATTACAGGGATTTGTCTTCAAGTCTCTCTGTAGTTGTTAAAACAAGAGTCATATATACTGTTGCGTGTGCTTCTCAACCAGTAGGGTAATTTTTTTTAAACCAATGGGGGGTGGGGCTTTCGAAACAACTACATTGAGTCCAGAAGACATTTGGGTCCTGCTTTACTAACAGAATATTAAGGTCTTGATTTTTCATAAAGAAAATAAAAAAGTATTTTCTGGCAAAATGTTAGAAACCTACAAGATTATGTTCCAATGAGAGGAAAGGATGGGGATTAACCTACAAGTAATGTACCAATGAGAGAAAAGGATGGGGATTAACCTACAAGTAATGTACCAATGAGAGAAAAGGATGGGTACAAACTACTAAAAACCTATAAGTAAGACGATCCATATCTTCAATTCTTGCCATTTAACTGTAATTGTCTCATATGTACTATACCATTTAAAAAGATTGATACATCAAAACTATCAAGTCATACGGAACAAGAAGTTCATGCTTACTATAGGACAATAATTTTTAAATAAAACTTTTCTGACAAAGTTACTTCGTCATGGGACTAAGATTACAAGGCAAACATATACAAAAGAACAACTCAATTATAATCTACCTGGTTAACATTTTTTAAAAGGGTTAATCTGAAGTTGTTAGTGATTACCACTCATAACATGATAAACAAGTAAACCTGTGAGCTACTGCTCACTGATGATACCCCCGCCAAAATATTTCGGTAAACAGGAAGTTGTTGAGTGATGAATCTGAAAACGCATCACACTGTGTAACTTATTTATATAAACCCTGAAACCAAATTTCAAAAATCCTTGTCAAGTAGTTCCTGAGAAAAATGTGACGAAAATTTTCAACTTGGCTATCATGTGTAAAATAATACAAGTGTTCGGTAAACAGGAAGTTATTGAGTGATGAATCTTAAAACGCATCACACGGTGTCACTTACTTATATAAACCCTGAAACCAAATTTCAGAAATCCTTGTCAGGTAGTTCCCGAGAAAAATGCGACGAAAATATTCATGGGACGGACAGACTGACGGATGGATGGATGGATGGATGGATGGACTGACGGAAGGACAGACAGAGGTAAAACAGTATACCCCCTTTTTTAAAGCGGGGGTATAAAGATTAAACTACTACATATAAGTGTGGGAGGGAAGCAAGTTTTACAGAAGATTAAGTCACAAACTAACACTACAGTACAACTACAATAATAATAAGTCACAAAATTCTACAAAGAAGCGTACTGATTACATACTGAAATGATCAAATCCCTGTAACAGGCTGAATGGTCTGGTCTCTTCATGGTCATGAAAACTGACTGACGATGTCCATGTTACGGTGAAAGTTGGCTGTACCAAATCGGTTTGTTAAATCTCTGAACCCCGAAATGTATTCTTGTTAAAAATATATTGTAAGGTGCAGTTATGTTAGTATGTCCGACTTTTTAATATGGTTGACGGAGACAGTTGTGAATAAGATAAACTTAATCTACAATCACTACTGTCTTGGTCCTGTGTTGGGGGGGATGAAAATGTTTTTTCACAATACACGTTTTATAAAATAAGTTTCGAGTGCTATCATCATGCGAAACAATTTTAATTGTAGTGTTTCCTGGAAACATGTATATTTACCTTGATATAGCTATTATTTGTTACTGGACAAAGCTATTAACCCTTCCCTAGATCTTCCATCAATTTCTTCATTTTCCATCAACACTTGATGGACAATTGATGGAAAGTTGACGGTACTTGATGGAATTCCATCCTAAACCAAAAAAATCCATCAAAGGATGATGGAAATTAGGAATTTTATTTCCATCCCCATTCTTTTGATGGAAAATTTGATGGCATCTTTAACCCCTGATGGAAAATTGGATGGCATTTTTACCCTCTGATGGAAAATATGATGGCATTTATTCCACCTGATGGAAAATAGGATGGAAATGAAGGAAGTTTGATGGAAATTGGACTTAAACATTTTCTTTGATGGAAAGTGAGATGGAATTTGGACTTAGAATATTTTGTTGATGGAAAGTGTGATGGTATTTAAACTCTGTCATTTTGCTTGATGGAAAAAAACTTAGAAAATTTCAGCATAATTGTGTCTGAAAATTTAACATCCCTTACTGAGGTAAAAAGTTTTCTATTATATTGGAGCAAACAAATTTCTTTACAAGAAGTACTAGCAAGAAAGTTACATGTTGTTGCAGCTGTAACTTGTAACATAATCTCTCAATGTTACTGAAATAATATTTGTTCATGAGAAAGTTGCAGTATTTTTCTGCAATGTTGCAAGAAAGAGTTTGTTTGCTAGAAAGTTGCAACAAACAATTCCCTAAACTGTGCAATACCTTGTATATATCTTGTAACAGGAAAGGATTTCAAGATTATCCTGGGATATCCTGAAAATATCCTGTTAGGCTATAAGTCCTTTTTTTAGAAAAAAACTTAATGGGAGAATTCCAGAAAATGTCGGGACTTTCAAATCAAGCAGCTTAAAACTGGGGGAATTCTCAGGATATCTCAAGACTTTCAAAAATCATATTATATAAACCAGAATATATCAGGACTTTTCGATCATCATTCATCCAACTTTCAGGACATTTACAAATTCTATCTGAATGGAAAAAAAAGGGCCTGGATGATTCCTGGTATTGAGACTTAAGAAAAAATATAATCTGTATTACAAATTCAACCAAATAAAAAAGAAAATCTTTGGGACTGAAATTAACTATTGTTTGTCAAATATATATATATTCACATGAAGATACAGTGTTCTAGCCAGGATTTAAAAAGGGCAGGGTGCTCTAGTCAGAAAAATGACAATTTTATTTATAAAATGTCATTGAAAAAAGGGCAATTAAACTAAAATAAAACTCAGGCACTAAGGTAAAATCAAGTTTCAGTTGAAGGGGAGTAATAAAATTCAATACTTTTGGCACAATTTTTTATGTTTAGCTTTAAAAATCTCGGGTCATTAATAGTGACTAATGACACGTTCACACTGCAGCTGAAATGAATTATTTAGTGGCTTATGAGTTTCATAAAGTTAACCTGGTAGTTACTCATCTTTAGGATCATATGCAAACTTACAATAAAGCAATTTGAATTATTATTTTAAAGCACTTGATAGAGCAATGAATGGAGGTAAAGATGAAAAAAACAGTTTTCAAAATATTTATATTCTAAGTGTTTTCAGGTTAAAAATAATTAAAAGAAATATTCTAATATGCATTTGCATTCAATTTGTTTTATATTTATTTAATTGCGAAAAAAAAACATAAATAAACGGAATATATTGTGAAAAGGTGATAAAAAAGGGGAAGTAACTCTTTTTTTTTTGGCAAACATTTTTGAAATAGACAAATTGTTTTTGACATAAAGCAAAGATAATTGGTGTTAAATTAACAATGTGTTTGACACCAAAGCTGTCAGGTGAAGCCATGCACTTAATGGGTCACTTAATTTTACAGTTTACACAGCTAGCTGAACTTCCTGTTCATGGAAGAATTACGAATTTCAGTTTGACCGTATTTCAAATTAAGAAAAATGCCGAGATTTTCGCGATATAAACGACAGGGAACTCGAGAAACGCCAACGGCTGTTTTGCCAGACAAGCTGGGGCGTTTCTGATTTTCTCCCAAGTTCACATAAGTGCGTTTCTATTAATTATCAGATCGATGATCGACATCGTGAAACATTGGTTTCTCAACTTGTGTAAAATGTAAACAAATCATGACCACGTGTTTTTTGTAATTGTACTGAACAGTTCGACCCTAGAAAATACCGTTCTAGATAATGCGGCCAATAGTTCATCCGCATGCACCCTGTGCCGATTAAATTAACGTTGTTTTTTTTTCTTTTATTTAAAACTGGCCAGTTGTAATATTTTTATGCGACACCCTTGATCTATTTTCATAATACCGGTACGGGAACGGATCAACTTCTGGTCGATATAATATGGGGCGAGATTGTCACTTCGACGTTAGCGCACTTGAGAAACACGTCATCAAAATGTGATTACGCTGATATGGAGATCAAACTTATGCTGGAAAATCCGATGCAGATGTTTTCAGATAAGTGCATTAGAAATTTAATTCAACATGTGTATATTATGATTATAAATTATAATTCATTGAAGAACTATGATTTTTTTATTGTTTTTATTTGATCATATCAACATCAGAAAGGTTGAGATCATAAACTGAAAATTATATTTATTTTTAACATGAGTTTTTGACAATGAATAATCTTGTTGTCACATAACAGGCATAACTGGTAGACATGTAAAAAAATATTGAGTTGTGTGAATGGTTATTTGGTGAAAATAATAAGTCGCCGGTTTTTAATCTTCAGGGGATAAAAAAAGGGGGAGGGTAATTAATTTGAATCCAAATGGCTTCCAATGTACTGTATAACCATGCAATAATATTTCTATTGAATTTATTGCTTCAAAACGTCTTGAACAATTGATTCTTTGTGGATTTTTTTTTTTACTTTTAGGGGATTTAATGATTTTAAAATGGAGCTGCCAATTTTGATAGTGAACAGATAATCAGATTGCATGCAGATTCCAGTTACCTTTACTCAGCAATACTAGTTGGAAGTATAGAGACAGCAAATTTAATTACAGAAAGGAGAAGAACTTAACATGTATCCTTTATATCTGATTTTTATTAAGCCTAAATTAATATATTGTTTGTTTCCCCAATCCGACACCGCCAAGCCAGGTGTGGGTAGGTAGGTAGGGAAATAATTTTATTTTTTTCCAAAAAGCTGGAACAATATTGGTCGATCTGGCAAGCCTGAAAATTGGAACTGAATAAAATAATATTTGACTTAGTTTTGACAATAAAATTTTATGAGTCGGACCCGTTTTTGCACAATGTTGCAGGGTCGGTAGGGATTGGGGAAACAGACAATATTTTATTTTAGGCCTAATATAATATTTGAAACTGAACAGCGAGCATCGTTAAGCCATGGTGAACAATGTGTATCAAAATACAATTATTGAATTAAGACAATGAAATGCTTAAGGGTATTAGTGAACATGAGGAGGAGGGGGTGGGTTTGGGAACCATTTTGATAATTTTGGTAATTTAACAATCTAAGCAGCCATTAAAAATGGCCAACAAGTTTGCTAGTAGTAAGTACTAGTATCTAATTTTGATGGGAGTTTAAGGATCTGACATTAAAATAAATACAGGTCAATTTTTTTAAATGGGAACTTGACAGCCGTTTAAATAAATTATTAAAGACAGTTATCGGGAAGGACGTCCGCCTTGCGCCAATTGCCCTTTTCGACCAGAAATGGTGCATAGAGTGACAAATGTAAGCGCCCACGTGGCGCACGATATTTTCCACTCCATTATGAAACATTTGATATCGTAAAATGGATTTCCGATTGTGTTTCATGTCGCCATGTGTATGTACAAAACTGTAGTGTTACCGCCAATGATAGGAGCACCGCCTATATATATTTTTGGGACGTCTCCAGTGTAAACATATTTTGGATTATATCTTTTGGTAAGTACAATGTATTAGAATTTCCCCAATTTTGAATATATGTGCATGATCTTTTAGTTCAAAGTAGTGACATTTGAGGTGTTTTATTAACTTTTAAGAGTCAAGAAAAAAAGAAGGTCATAGATTTATAAAAAGTATTAATAAAGAAGATGTGGTATGCTTGCCAATGAGACAACTCTCCACAAGAGACCAAATGACAAAAAAAATATGCATATACATATCATAAAATTGTGTAGGACATGAGTCATTTTTTGTATCATTTTAAAACATTATTTGTTTTATAAAATAGTACTTCTGAAAAAGTAATTTTGCTATAAAATTAGAGATCTGTGGTGTGACTGACAATATGACATTTATATATCCACAAATGGTAAAATAATACATCTTTATATATACATGTATAGTATATACACTACCCACCAAAAGTATGATATAAAACATGGGCAAGACCCATTATGTTATAGTACAATGATTATGAAAAACAAATATTAAACAAAAAAGAAAGGACAACCTCTTTATTTCTAGGGACAGTCACTTATTATAATGATGATAATTTAGTACTGACATGAGGTTTAATGTATTGTACAGTTATATATCAGCTGCTGAACCAGGGTGGTGGTGGTGGCAATTAAGTCAACATTAGGAGTAAGACTTATAAAACTTCTATTTAATAAGTTATGTAGCTCTAAAGCTCAGAAAGGGGGAGCCCACTTTCCTAAATCCACCTCTGAATATTAAATTTCTAGAAGGATTTGACACTCTTAGAAATTGACCCTGCAAGTGACACATTAATACAAATCTTTTCAAAAAGTGTTATTTTCATTTGATAATTTCAGAATTGACAACAAATGTAACTAACTAACTTTATATCTGTACAATGTTAACTTATTCTTTTATATGCTAGATTCTTTTACTTTTATTTTGCAGAATTTGCCATCAACTAATTCAACTTTAAGGACAGCGAGTTCAATGGGACACTGAACGAAAAGATACACACATGTAACAGGACTACCTATAGACGACAGAGAACAAATATTGTTTTATTAAATCACAGAAAATGCCATAAATGGAAAGATTTTCTAAAGACATTCTCCTTACTCATCCATCAAATTCCATCTGATGGTCAATTCTCCATCAAGTTTCCATGCATTTTACATGTAATGGAAATATTCCATTGGTTTTCCATCTGATGGCAAAATTACCATCAGTTTTCCATCAGATGGCAAAAATACCATCAATTATCCATCAGATGGCAAAAATACCATCAGATGGAAATTATGCCATCAATTTTCCATCAACATGAACACAAATTCCATCAAACCTTTTCCATCAACCATTTTTCCAGCATTGATGGAAAGTTGATGGAAAGTTGTTCCAATACTCCATCAACATGATGGAATGTGATGGCATTTTTTCCATCACAAAATTCAATCATGTTTGATGGAAAATCTAGGGAAGGGAACTATTGTCATGCTTTGTAGGGAAGGGGAGATATTTTCTTTTGCAACAGGTCAAAGCGTTATTGAAAGAGTTGTTAGAGGTGTTAAAAGTGTGATGGTATATCAGATTTAATAGTTTAAAAGGATAGCCTGATTTTATGAAGTTCTGATCACCACTTTCTGGGTTATTAGTTTCCCATTATCTTAATTCAACTGTGATTATTCTGGTTTGTCAACAAAATCAAAATTAAAAAAAAACAGGTTGTGTTCACACGGATCAGTGACACAAGGGAAAAGCATGTGCAAAAACAATGCTGTTTGAGAAGTTATTTTACATCAACTTAATCTATAATTTCAATTAATTTTAATGTCTTTTTCTATTAAACTTACATATTTGGCAATGAAATAAATTTGTGAAGCTTCAAAAAAATTTTTTAATATGAAATGAATCTCCTATACCATGAAAATACTGCAAACGATCACACACACTTTGAAATTATCAGAGTTCCCATAGGTGTTTTCAACAAGTGAAAAAAAAGTTTTTTTCTGAATTCCCGGTGGCAAAAAGGGGTGCGTGGACAAAATACCAGTGCAAACTTTAATAGGCCAATTACGATAGTAAGGGTTGGTGAAGACTAAACTTACCATGGAAATGTAACTGGGTGTTCCAAGAAGTTCCATAGAGTTCATGCTCTAGTCATTTAAAAATTCCGACATAAAGTGTGGTTTCACCATTTTATGCTTTTGAACACAATTCCACTTATGAGAAGTTCAATGGTAAAAGTTAAGCAGCAGTTGTGTTGTGTTCTTTTAAAAAACACACCAGATTGTAGGGCTTCCAGTGATCACAGAAATGATTCATATTGTATTTGAAAAGTGGGCATTTTTGTTAATTCCTTCACCTTTTTTCAAGGATCAACCTTACTTTGTCAATCTTGAAGAGATATTGTGGAGTTTTAAATTAATATTCATCAATAAAACCTATAGTTTGTAACAAAAACCTCAACCAAAAAAATGAATTAATGAATATAAAATAATGAGAAGGCAGTTTAAAAGAGCTTATAAGTCAACATTACCTCCTTGAACTGTTAGTTGTGTGGTCGAACTTTGACCGGTTCCTACAACATTTGAAGCAAAGCATCTGTAAGTTCCCTGGTCATTTGTGGTCACCGAGTTAATGGTTAAAGAAGGATTGTTGGTTGTACTACCAGAATACCCAATGTCTCCAGAATTTATCTGAGAAAAACCATCTTTCAGCCAATAAACGGTGGTTTGGAAAGGTACAGCAGACACTGTGCATACAAGTGTTACTGAGTTTCCATACTGGCCTGTGTAAGTTGAGGACTGAATTGTCACAGTTGGTAGAGCTGAAATGAAGTTTAAGACATTAAGGTTTTTTTTTTCTCCCAGAATTTCCATTTTCCATTCTGAGCAACATATTGCACTATTACATTCTGCAATTTTAAATTTTCTTAAAGAATAAAATGTTACTTGATAGTCGTTTTTTCATACTATTCAAACTAACCAGTACTGTGGATTAATTTATTTTCGTGGGTAACAATTTTCGTGGATTGAGGAAAACTTGCATTTTCGTGGATATTTGATTTCATGGATTTTCAAAAGTGTGCATATAATCATACAGCAAATTTGTAATTCGTTAATCATTTAAATTCGTGGTTTCCCTGTACCCACGAAATCCATGAAAATTGGTAACTACAGGGCTGCCAAGTCTCACGCATTTTCATGCATATTTGGCGGCATTTTCCTTTGATCTATTGTTTTTTCTCTTTGATCTTTACAATTTTGGCCAAATCTCACACATTTGCTTCATGAAAACTTGGCAGTACTGTAACTAACGAATATTAATGAATCCACAGTATACATTTTTTTTTAGATTTGATCTTGGGAGTTACAATTCTATGGTTACTGCATAGACTTTTTACAAAACCCTCTCCCAACACTGACTTGGTGGACCCCCCCTTTTTCAAAACCTGGATTTGCATGATCTATACAAAGAAGCTTAGGAGTGGAGCATGCAGTAACCCCAATAAACGGCATTGTAAAGGAGTAATTTTTTTTTTTCAATTGTTTGAGTAAATCTTATTTGTATGCATTGCCTAATGTGTTATTTTTGAAAGCATAAAAAGTAATTGTATATCTGCTTCATAATTTATAGATATATTAGCCAGAAATAGGAATAAATTTCATTTTAGGCCATTTTTCTAGCAATTTGTCACCTTTTTCTAACTTTTTTCATGTTTTGATATGTTGCACCATCTCTCAGTGCCCATTGAAATCTTGGTTGAAATATACAGAATGTGGTATATAAAGAATAGTCTATTTTTAGCAAAATTATTAGTGGGCAAGAGCTAGAAGTGCTGGTACCAATTAATTTATCATAATAAACAGCTGCGCCATGAGCGCATGATACGCCCGTCGTCTTGTGCGTGAATTTTTATGCAATAAGCATAAATAGTTTCTGACATACGGCGTGACATACGAAAACCCCCCTTTTTTTTTTTACAAAAAACTCAATATCTCTAAAATAAAATTTTGAATCAAAACCAAAAAGTATACAGATCTTTAGATTAATATAACTAAGAAGTGTGTAAAATTTTAAGCAATAATCATAAATCGTTTTTGAGATACGGTGCGACATGTGAAAACACCCCTTTTAAAAAAAAAAATCAATATCTCAAAAAAAAAATTTTGAATCAAAACCAAAAAGTATACCGATCTTTAGATTAATATAACTAAGAAGTGTGTAAAATTTTAAGCAATAATCATAAATCATTTTTGAGATATGGCGAGACATGTGAAAAACCCCTCCCCCTTTTTTTACAAAATACTCAATAACTCAAAAATAAAATTTTGAATCATCACCAAAAAGTATACAGATCTTAAGGTTAATATAACTAAGAAGTGTGTAAAGTTTTAAGCAATAATCATAAACTGTTTTTGAGATACGGCGCGACATGTGAAAAACCCCTCCCCCTTTTTTAACAAAATACTCAACTCAAAAAAAAAATTTTGAATCATCACTAAAAAGTATAGAGATCTTAAGATTAATATAACTAAGAAGTGTGTAAAGTTTTAAGCAATAATCATAAATTGTTTTTGAGATACGGCGCGACATGTGAAAAAAAAACACACCTGTTTTAGTTACTAAGTCCCGTAACTCAAAAAGTTTAAATCTTATTTTCACCAAAAAGTATACAGATCGTTTGACCATCATAAGAAACAACTATGTTAAGTTTCATGAAATTTGGATAAGTCATTCTCAAGTTACGGTGCGACATGTTTACGCCGGACAGACAGATGGACAGACAGACGGACGGACGGACGCCAGACATTTGTATAACATAATACGTCCCATCAAAAATTTGACGGGCGTATAAAAATGTAATAAATTATGCAAAAGACAGGTTTTAACAAAATTCACCTACATTTATGAAATCACTAATGATGAAAATGTTGAAAAACCTTTTTTTAACTGATACAATTGGACATTTTAACAGATTTTCTCACCAAATTTTAAACATTATCAGAGTTTATATTTTTCAGATTTTTTAGTGCCAAAATAGTGAATTAGTGAACCAACTCTTTTTCCAATAATCCATTCTAGGCAAATAACAGTCAGAATTAAGAGATAACTGTATTGTATTTGAAGCTTTGCGGACGTCCATCAGTAGTTTTACTGTTGCAAATTTAGTTTCCCTGGCGACGCGTAGCTGAGACAGGTAAACGAGTATTTGCAACAGTAAAACTACCAATGGACGTCCGCAAAACTTCAAATAAAATACAGTTATCTCTATTCTAATGCAAAACAAGTACATAATTCAATTTCAATCATTATTTCAGTGTAAAATTTTCATTAAAGAAAATTCTGCATAAAAGATGTTATCTTCTTTGGCCCCTAAACTAGGTGAGGTCATAGGTATGCTTTGGCATCAAACGTAAACACCGGGCGTTTTCTGCTTCTTGACCGCTTCAGAATGTAATAAAATTTGATAAAAAGAAGATTTCTATGTGCAACATGTGAGTCTTTTGCTTATTATTGTAGAAATTACATGTCAATGCATTCTGCAATTCAAATATCGGCTTCCTTAGTTACAGACAAGGAGATAGAGAATTTTACGCTTACTGTCATCCAATCAGAACCATTGATACATAATAATTGCATTAGAATAAGAGACAAGGCTTATCAAAACTTACATTGAGGAGACACTGTTATGACATTAGTATTGACTGTTGTTGATCCATCTGTAGCAGAACAGACATACTGTCCATTGTCTGATGACTGAACATTGCTAATGGTTAAAGATGGGGTACCAGTGTTGCCATTGGACAAGCGGGCGTTGCCATTTATGTTCAACTGACTGTTATCTTTTGTCCATCTGACAGATGTGGCAGTTCCAGTTACAACACACTGAATGACAAGGTTGTTTCCGATGGTTGGATTATATAACAGCTGTGGTGCATTAATAGATAGAGCCACTGAAAGAGAAAATTATCTGATTGTGTTCAGGATATGTAAATTACAGTCTAAGCATATTTTTCAAAAATCAAAGGTACCAAAAATTCTGTGATTCACCTCTTCTGCATAAAGTTTAAAAAATCTAATCAACCATGAATATATGATGAGTGTATTATTATTGTGTGACCACTCAACTGTCCAATATTCCCTCAATTAATTGAAGAATTGACAAATGAAGCAAATAGGAAAAAAGGCATCAACTGTTTTAAATATATATATAAACAGATAGCAACCACGTGCAATTGGAATATTTCTAGGTCTGTTTGATTTCATAATGTAAGTTAAAAATAAAGTTGAGAATGGAAATGGGGAATGTGTCAACAACCCGACCAAAGAGCAGAAAACAGCCCAAGGCCACCAATGGGTCTTCAATACAGCCAGAAAATCCCGCACCCGGAGGTGGGCTTAAGCTGGCCACTAAACAAAAATGTGTACTAGTTCAGTAAAAATGGACGTCACACTAAACTTCGAAACATACAAATGAACTATAAATTTAAAAAAGTATGTTTATCATTGTTTTTACTTGCATAAGAATTATTTTTTTGTGGATCGAATCAGTCAACCAAATGGTTCATCCTTGTTTCACTTTAAATGTTTACATTCTATTCCTTTAAATAGCTGAATACTTGCATAACCATCTCCAGGTAAGGGTTTAAATTGAAGGTCACATGAATATGGATTCAATGAGGCAGAATTGTTCACTTGCAAGTGAATAATTCGTCTGAGATGTTTCTTCTTATTTTGACAAAATTGAACCAAATTGGCTGCTACAGGCAAATTTTTATTTCATTATATCACTTTGATTGAACAAAAAAAATCACATTTTTTTTTTATATCTCATAGCTAATGCCCCTTTAAAAAATTTAAAAGAAAAACAGAAAGATTACCTTTGACTGTCAGTTGAAGAGAAACAATCTGTGGATTGTTTGGTCTGGTCTCAGGATGGTCCACTTGACAAAAAATTGTTTGGCCATTATCAGATAATCTTGGGTTCCATGTAATGGTTTGTGTTAATAGGTAAGAAACGTTTGCTTGCAAATATTGAACTGTTTCTATAATACCATCTGCGGCAGTTAAAGTAGTTTGACCTAGACGCATTGTCATAACTGGATTTGGATTTCCACCAGTACTAACACATATATGTGTTGATGAGGTCCCATCAATTATTTCATTTGGTCCAGTAATTGTAGGTGTGTTTGGTGCAGCTGCAATATACATAAAATGGTTTATGAAAAATGCATATTTTACAAGAAGTCAATAATTAGTTTAGCATGCAGTCATGGACTTTTAAATATACTTTGTTATTGAATCTAACTTTGATCAACTATCTGTTAAGTTCAGCAGTTGTTTAGGTACATTTCATGTTTTTTAATGAAAAATGACATGCAGGGATTAATTACCGGTACAGAATTATTAAAGAAGGGTTCCATCTTGTTAATGCATAGATGACACTGGTAGGTTCTGCTATTCCGTTTAAACCTGTTTTTTTGTATCAATGTGTAATAAATGATCTGTGTATTTGGCCTAACAAACTGTTACCACCAAAATCTCATGAAACATGCATGTGTGAGTGTCTGGATGGGTGGTCCTTCAATTCTGTATTCTTTCATTTTTAGGTCATTTTTCTTTATATTTTTCTCTACTTTTATTGCCCATTATTCTCTGTTCTTTATATTTTAGCACCTCGTTCTGCCCTTTATTCTGCACTTTGTGCCCATTATTCTCTATTCTGTAAACCCTATCCAGACCATTGCGTGTTGAATGTGTCATTATATAATACCTTGCCACATCTAATATTTTATTTTAATTCATTTCATATCTATTATCAAAAAGATGTCCAAAATTAAAACACTATATTTTGATTGTATATTTGCATTCTTTTCGACTGATCTTTGCGTTAAACATTCTATTCTTATACATACTAAAGGTAACAAAAATCATCTTCTGCCTGCCTAGTACTCTTATAACTCTATTGTTGGTATTTAACAGTAACCACATAGTTCATAGTTTTTCCTTCAATCAATACATGCATGACCAGGGTCTGGAGAGGGTTTACAGAATAGAGAATATTTAATGGGCAAAACAAATAAAGAATAGAAAAAAATAAGTTCAAAAATTAATGGGGTGCTGAAATATAAAGAATAGAGATTATAGCAAAAAATTAATGGGGTGCTGAAATATAAAGAATAGAGATTATAGCAAAAAATAAATGGGGTGCTGAAATATAAAGAATAGAGATTATAGCAAAAAATAAATGGGGTGCTGAAATATAAAGAATAGAGAATAGCCAAAAATAAATGGGGTGCTGAAATATAAAGAATAGAGAATAGCTAAAAAATAAATGAAGAATAAAAAAAAAGGTCTAAAAATTCCAGACCCTTGTGACTTAATTTTAACAATTGCTCTCATCATAGTACTTTAAGTATGTGTGGGTGTGACTGCACCAAAAACTTACAATAAACCTGGAAAAACCATGTTGATGTCAGTGGATTTTGAAGAACTTCGTTGTCGACTTGACACTCATAGACAATCAAATTATGCCTTTTTTCAGCAATAAAAGTATAATTATTTGAAACTACGTTTCCAGACTGTTGAAAAGAATCATCAATCATTCTGTCTCCCTCAAACCATTTTACAGTAGGTGATGGATTTCCATTAGTGGATGTACATTTTAATGAGATTTCTTGACCTCTTATTATGAAAGTAGGACCACTAATACTAGGTGCGCCCGGTGGTATACCTGAAACAAATAATATATTAACAGACTAACAATGCCATAGTGTAAATGTTTTAACTACATTTTAAACACTGGATGAAATTTCAATTTACAAAAAACTGATGCATTGAAATCAAAAATGAAATGTGTAGGTTAAGTACAAGTATTGGCAAGTTAATTTTAATTTATTTGAGAATAAAATATCATAGGTACATTAAAACCTGAATACCAAAAACAAGAGGCTCTCAAGAGCCTGAATCGCTCACTTGTTATTTTTTTTGCTTAAATCTTTCATCAATGATTAATTTTGCTTTTTACCCATATGTTCCATTTTAGCCATAGTGTCTATGTTTTTCTATTTCTATGTTTGTCTATTTCTTGACGTACAAGGAAATGAAATACACAATTTATACTAGATTCATTTGAGAAGATTTTTAAAGTTAAAAAACATAAAACAACTTGTGTAAAATTGTCCTTAAAGGGCAATAACTCCTTAAGGGGTCAATTGACAATTTTGGTCATATAAAACTTTTTTTGTAGATCTTACTTTGCTGAACATTTTTGCTGTTTACAGATTATCTTTATCTTCAATAATATTCAAGATAATAACCAAAAACTGCAAAATTTCCTTAAAACAACCAATTTAGTGGCAGCAACCCAACAATGGGTTGTTTGGTGTGTCTGAAAATTTCAGGGCTGATAGATCTTGACCTTTTGAACATTTTTACCCATGTCAGATTTGCTCTAAATGCTTTAGTTTCTGAGATATAAGCCAAAAACTGCATTTCACCCCTATGTTCTATTTTTAGCCATGGCGGCCATGTTTGTTGATGGATCAAAATTTCGGATACAATTCATAAACTAGATTCCTAAAGGAACATTCATTCAAAGTTAAGAAGTATTAGGTACAATAGTTTCAGAAGAGAAGATTTTTAAATGTTAGAAAACTTGATGAACACATTGCGTAAAATTGTCTTTCAAGGGCAATAGTTCCTTAGGGGGTCAATTGACAAATTTGGTCATTTAACTTTTCTGTAGATCTTACTATGCTGAACATTATTGCTGTTTACAGTTTATATCTATCTATAATAATATTCAAGATAATAACAAAAAACTGCAAAATTTCCTCAAAACTACCAATTTAGTGGCAGCAACCCAACAATGGATTGTTCGATTTGTCTGAAAATTTCAGGGCTGATAGATCTTGACCAATTGAACAATTTTACCCAGTCAGATTTGCTCTAAAAGCTTTAGTCTTGGAGATATAAGCCAAAAACTGCATTTGACCCCTATGTTCTATTTTTAGCCATGGCGGCCATGTTTGTCGATGGATTACAACTTCGGATACAATTTATAAACTAAATATCCTAAGGAACATTTAGATGAAGTTTGAAGGAAATTTGGCTTAGTAATTTCAGAGGAGAAGATTTTTAAATGTAAGCAAACTTGAACAAATTGTGTAAAATTGTCTTTAATGGGCAATAACTCCTTCAGGGGTCAATTGACAATTTTGGTCATCTAACTTTTTTGTAGATCTTACTTTGCTGAACATTATTGCTGTTTACAGTTTATATCTATCTATAATAATATTCAAAATAATAACAAAAAACTGCAAAATTTCCTTAAAACTACCAATTTAGTGGCAGCAACCCAACAATGAGTTGTTCGATTCGTCTGAATATTTCAGGGCTGATAGATCTTGACCAATTGAACAAATTTACCCCATGTCAGATTTGCTCTAAAAGCTTTAGTTTTTGAGATATAAGCAAAAAACTGCATTTGACCCCTATGTTCTATTTTTAGACATGGCGGCCATGTTTGTCGATGGATCAAAACTTCGGATACAATTTATTAACTAGATACCCTAAGGAACATTTACTTAAAGTTTGAAGGTATTTGGCCCAGTAGTTTCAGAGGAAAAGATTTTTTAAATAGTTTATGACGACGACGACGATGACAAGTGAAAGCATAAGCTCACATGAGCTAAAAAGGGCAAATAAACCTATAATGAACAGACTATGAGTGAAAAAAACCTAGGGCGAATATAATATTACAGGGAATGGACACGATACCCATGAGCTCTAAGCTTGAACAACCGACTACATAAAACCAAAGCAACTGCTTATTTACACACAAGCACTCTTCAAACAAAAGAAAAGCATACTACATTATAAACTGAGAACAATGACACAAAAACATATAAAATACCGCACTCAAAACAAATAGCAAATCATATATATTATTGTATGTGACAAAAAACATTTAAGTAGCTTGAAAACATTGTCCAAAAGGAAGGAATGTAATATCAACTAACAAATATATTAATATGTATGAAATACTAATTTTAAAATTAGTTTCCGTGCTTTACATGACTTATTAAGAGAAAAGAGTTAAATATTTGTTAAGTAAACTTACTTTGACCTAGAATTGGAACTAATAATGCTGCAAACAATACTACTCCTGAACCTGCCATGCTGAAGGTGGCACTAGGTGGCACTTGATGGAAAAATACCACTGTAATTGATATCTACTGGATGTTACTCCTGTAAAAAATAAATGCGGTTAATGACGATATGCAGTAATATCCGTATACAAGTATTTTCCTGAACTAACTCATCAAAATTATAACTTTATACATGTACATAAAATTCATAATGTATGACTTTATAACCATTCTAGTTACTTTTCATTGATTACCAGAAATTAATCTTTTTTGTTTGCGTGTAGAAAAACAAGTATAATTTTTCAGTTTCAGATTTTGGCTCTTTCGCAATACTCTTAGAATTATTAAAATTGTAATCAGAATTTTTTATTCAAGGTTTGAAATACCAGGAAAATTTTATTGGAAGTGTTGAAGTTCATTAGAAATAAGAAAACTAGAAGGTTTAATAATATTTTGGTTTTTGCAACAAATATGAAAATAAGAAGATGTGGTTTGATTTCCAATGAGACAACTCTCCACAGGAGACTAAATGACATAGAAATTAACAACTATAAGTCCGGTCACTGAAAAACTTTCAACAATGAGCAAAACCGATACCGCATAGTCAGCTGTAAAAGGCCTTGAAATGATATATGTAAAACAATTCAAACAAGAAAACTAAACATTGGCGTAGCTTACGTTGAGGCAACCGAGGCAACTGATGCCTCGGTCAAAAAAAAAAAAAAATAAAAACTTTTCCTTTATAATCTTTTAAACGATTTCCTACTAATGCAGCAGACAAGTTACTAAACGCTAATATACCGACTTGTTTCGTCTTGTTGCCGCTATTGATTCATACCCTTTGCAAATTTAAGACTTATGGAAACATTTTCCCTCCCCTAGTTGGAAATCCCCTTTGCGGTAGTTTTCTGTAATCTAAATTTGTCCGAGTAAAAAAAAATCGACATGCAACAGATTTATTTAGTCCTACCCCATTGCAAGCAAAATCAGTAGAATAGATGATGATCCAACTCACGAGTCTTCCCCGATTGAATCATTTGACCATTGAATCAGGTAAGTTATTTAATTTTGTGTGAGAATGGTTTCTAGTATATGAGGGTCTGGATGAGGTTTATAGAAAACAGAAAAATGCCCTGAAGTAAATTTAAAGTTAACGAATAGAGATTTAAAATAGTACTAAAATATAAAAGAAAGGAAAATCAAATTATGGGCGAAAATAATTTAAAATAAATATTTGGAGACCCCATTCAAACACTCATTTATAACCGTAACGTCTAAAATTGAAACATCGTTGTGTGTCGACATTTTCCCCTAGATGTAGAACTTCAAATACACAGAGTTTCATTGATTATGGTACCAATCAAAATAAAATATACACCAATCAACATGCACAAAAAATAATTTATATGTTGCGTTTTATTCTCGCTATTTGAAATTTATAGTTTTCACTAGCAGGGAATTTAAAATATTTAAAGGAGTCACTTATTCCAGAGAAATATTTATTATATGTCTGTTAGTTCATACATTATGTCAGTTTATATATAAAAATTTCAACCAAATACTGTTTTCATTCAGCATAAAGACTTCAGAATAACGTAAATGTTAGTACTTCGCCGGTTGTCATTTTCATCGTGAATGGAAAAAAGTTCAAAACCATTTAAGAATTTGAAGACCTTCCATGACGAAACACAACCAATACAAGTGCCGTGGTTCACTTTACTTGTAGCATGTGTTTTTTCTCCTAGTTTATCAAGAAATTCTGCTGTTCAATCCGTCCGTCGTTTTGTGATGATAATCTATAATTCGTTGATTCGTGACCCACGACCAAGCGAGTAAATGATCATCACAAAAAGTATTTCAAATAAACCTTAATCGTGACCCACGACCAAGCGAGTAAATGATCATCACAAAAAGTATTTCAAATAAACCTTAATCGTTGCGTTTGTTTTTCTGTATTGAAAATTCTATATAGGTTTCTTCTGGCCATCAAACAAGGTCAGGTTTTCCTTCTGATCAGAGACATATAATGTATTATATGTCTCTGTTCTGATATAAAGTTAAATCTTATGTCACAGTGAGGTACAGCCACCTATATTAGAGTACGACGGCTTGGGAAATATTTCGGCAGATTAGGCTTTTGAGCTAGATTTCAGTTACTGTTAGAAAGTCAGGAGAATGACTTGTCAGTGGTTGTCTTATGTGATATCTTCACGTGTTTTGTTATTTTTATAACTTTGAGTTGACCGTAGATTAGATAGTATCGGTTTAAATCATGCGCAACTTTCTATAGACTCAGGACAGTTTTGAACTTGGCATATCCGTCTCCTGTATTCGTAAAGAATTTTAAATCTCGGAAGTTCACTGAAAGGATTCGATTTGAAAAGTGGAAAATGTTTTCGAGAAGATTTATGTATTCATCTGAACATTGAAAATGATGCAGGTATACCAGTAATCAACTAATAAATCGGTAGTATAACTTAGTGTAAGGCATATTAACATTATTATGATGAAATAAAATTAAACAATAACTATTATTTTTAATAGATTCTTCTTGTTCAAATTGTAAAAAATTTGTTATTTTTAATAGATTCTTCTTGTACAAATTAAAAAAGACCCCCTGCCTCGGTAATAACAGAAAGCATGCTACGCCACTGCTAAAGGCCTGATTTATGTACAAAATAATGAATGAAAAAAAAATATGATGCACAGCAACAAACGACAACCACGGAATCACAGGCTCCTGACTTGGGACAGGCACATACAGAATTTGGCGGGGTTAAACTATAGTTAGATGGCGCCAAACCCTCCCCCTAACCTGGGACAAGTCTTTATAAATTTTCAGAAAGTTTTCATGAATAAAGCAGTCCAGAGACGAACTTTTAAACCATGTCTCTGGTTTCATGAAATTCTCGATCCCATATATATTTGGTAATATCATCCCCCCTTTTTTTGACCTCAAAAAATGACCATACCCACAGATAGATTCACACAAATTACATTGAAAATTGAAATTTCCTGTCAGTCTGCCCGAGATATTTCCATGGTAATTGTTTTGTCAATGATTGAGTAATATTAATGTTTACTGCAACAGTTTAATTCGATCAGTCAAAATGCAACTATGTTTTTTTAAAATAGTCAGTGCGTTTTAATTTAAATGCTCTTCAGCTTCGTATCTGATTTGGTCCCCTGACTGTTTCGATTCGATCGCGTAAGATGATCATTGATAAATGTCAATCAAATTATAAGCCTGATATCTTGCACGAGTCTTTGTGGGAAAAGTCATTTTAATAGTGACTAACATGTTAAAAAAGATGTTAGATCACAACAGGTGTTTTTAATTTTGGGTTCAGTTTCTTTAAGCTGATTGATCGGCAGTCTAGATATAATTACCAATGTCAGATTCCGAAATTGTTACATGTAGTATGTAAGAACTTAAATATATATACCATAACAATGAGTTATAATAGTCTCAACCGAGACCAATAGATAACATGTTTTAGTCCCAATTTCTTGTCAAAAATCAATTCCGAACGTACCAGTGTCAATAATCCGTTTTGAGCTTCAGAATCCCTAGTCCAAATAATTATGACGTCTTGAAAGGTTATTATATTTTTTTTCTTTGACGCCTTACATCACAGGAAGGCGTCAAAGCAAAAATTAAAATAGCCTTCCAAGACGTCATAACTATTTGGACTACAGAATCCCCAAAAGGGATTACAGTGTCTAGTGATTTTGAATAAATTTTCGAGCTAACTTTATTTTCCGCGTTTCTGGAAATTGACAAATTCAACTCACGAACCCCATATTTCTGTTTCTTAACGTATCAAATTATGGTATTTTCCGAAACAGTGTAGGTGCATGCATTGTTTGGAAACTTTTTACAAGAGTAAGGGAGCAACCATTTAATTTCAAGGGGGGGTATGGTTTTTTGTCTGAGTCAGAATTTTTTTTTCAGAATATTTGTTTTTTGCCATCTGCTTGACCACAATTTTTTTTTTTATCAAATTGGGGATCAGAATATTTTTTTTAGGAAAAAACCATGACCCTCTCTTTTGAAGTTAAAGGGTCGTTACCTAAAGGTTATCAGTTATTAAATGTACTTTAACAATATCGACGTCACCCCGCCACTTCCTAATAAACTATTATTAATTGGCGTGAGAACACTCTTATTGTGATATTCACAGAAACTCGAATTAATATCCCTAAAATATGTACATTCTTATAAATTTTCTTTTGTGTGCCAGAATATCGACAGGTTGGTTTGATTCATCGAGTTAACAAACTACAATATTCTATGTATGGGGGCGGCTTCGTCATTTCAAAAACTAACGTGTCTGAGCAAACCACTTGACCATTGGAATAATAAAAGTTAGAAGTCTGTACAGGTTATTAAAATATTGATCGTGTGTATTATTAAGTTATAGAAATCTAGTTTTGTAAGAAGATTGCTCATTGAATGAATCATTTTTCTCATAGAACTTTAAATATCGATTTCAATGCCAGCTTGGCTGCATGTTCACAAAATGCTTACATTAAATCGTCGTGGGACTAATACATTGAATTTATCTATTAGTCCCAGATCGTCCGTACTCTTTTGATGACAATTTTTTTACTTACTATTTACCGTTTTAATATTGAAATGAAATGTAAAATGGCACCTGAGGGAGCTATCATTTGATTTTTATTGGGGGGGGGGGGGGGGGGGGGGGGGCTGGATGAAATTTGAAAAAAATAGGCAGGACAGGAGGTTTAAGAAAAAAAAAAGCAGGATGAGACACTTTGCAAAACTAGAGGCTCTTTAGAGCCTGTGTCGCTCACCTTGGTCAATGTGCATATTAAACAAAGGACACAGATGGATCCATGACAAAATTGTGTTTTGGTGATGGTGATGTGTTTGTAGATCTTACTTTACTGAACATTCTTGCTCCTTACTATTATCTCTATCTATAATAAACTTGGCCTGGTATTGTTACAGTGGAAAATATATTGTAAAAATTTACAAAAATTTACAAAATTTATGAAAATTGTAAAAAATTGACTATAAAGGGCAATAACTCCTTAAGGGGTCAATTGACAATTTTGGTCATGTTTGACTTATTT